AGCAAGTAGTTCAGGAAAACAGTTTAAAAATCGTTCCCTGAGCTTTTGATGCAAACTCAAAGGTATGTCCATGAACTCCAAGGGATCTTCTTCCAAGAGTGGCTTTTTACTCCAAAGTGTTCTTTCTGTCCGTGGTCTCCCTGTAGTTCAGTAATGTTGAGAGTATGGTTTTATCAATTTTTTTTTAGAAGACAAGTTCCAAAACAAAAGCTTTAGGGGTAAGAGAAAGGGCTATTTAAGGAAAGTAAAGTTTTATCCTTATTTAAGAGTGCAGCTGAGTAAGTTAGTTCTGAATCTGTTATACAGCAAGAGTAACAAGACCTGGCATCAGAAGTCAGAGTTTTACAGAACTTGGACTTCTCTGACCATGGTGGCTAGCTACTAGCCAAGCTGTCTCTGAACAGAACTGCAATCAGCCAATTAATTAAAAAAGACTAAAGTACTGTAAGCAGAATGAGTTCAATACTTAAGTGTTTAAAAAAAAAAGATAATATAATAACCACTCTAGTTAGCTATCAAACTTAAAAGGAACCTGGATTGCATACACAGATAATAACAATTTCAAAACATTAAAAACTGGGATTTTAAGGTTCTTAAGTTAATTTCATTCTTGGTAGCTATCCAGAACATACTTTAAAAGTTCAGTGCTTATGAGTAATTTAAATAGTGAAATTTAAATAGTGATTTGTGGAATTCCAGTAAGCACCCATTTGGAGCTCCAATTCCATTGCTGGCAGACTTCAGGTAGGCTTCATTTTAAGCCATTGAAAGTATTTTAGTTAGAGGGTTCAGAGAACCTATTGACACATTCCAATAGTGTCAGTAAAGTGCACAAATGCAAACACATCCTTTGGTATGCATCCTTTGGGCTGGCTATGACCTCAGAGGAGGCATAGAAGTTAGCGGTGCTGGTGCCAGGTTCCTGACAATGGTACTGAGGCTGGCGATCTTCTCTTCTAGGAGGAAATTTTTTTTCTCTGCTGTCTTCTGTCGCTGTTCAGTCATCTCCAGAGCTTTCAACAACTGGGCGTTTTCAACATACAAGTCCTTCACCATGGCATCTGTTTTTGTATTCTTGCAGAGCTAGGACAGAACCAGAAACATCTTGATTCCATTTTGTGTTCACTACTCCGAATTTAAAACATAGGGGAAGTTACTTAATAAAGGCAAATCAGTTCTGCTAGCTGTGCACTTTGAATTAGTAACTTCTACCAGTATATATATGCAAACAGAAATGTGGATTTATTTTGCTTGTATTCCCAAATATCAAGTCTGATGCTAAAGCCATGTTATAAAACAAAGGGTGGATTATTTTTTAAGGGCTCCAAAATGAATTTTTTCTACCTAAATATGTGCTATTCCTTTATCCATTTAAAAAAAAAATACCCAAAATGCTTGTCCAACATAGCATTTTTGAGATGTCAACTGCATTAACATCCACTCTTAACAGATGTGCTTCACCATTCAAAACTACAACCTATAATATTTATAAACACAACAAGATATTTCAACAGGTAGCTCAGGAATTGTTTTGGCAATTGCTTCCCTTAACTCCATTTTCCTTTCTTCTCTACCAACCCTTCCCCCAAAAGTATGCCCTCTCTTATGGTTAGAGTCTACATTGAAAAGGCACATTTGTTAGCCAACCTTGCTACCTTAATTCTTGCTCCTGTTCCTGCCTTCAATCTCCCTCTCACATCTTATACTCATCATTTTATAGCAGACTCAAGCAGGTAAAAGAATAACAAGCGGCTACAGGATGGCTTGATTTACCACCATTTCCAGGATCATAATAATTTAGGCAACTGGCAGGTACAATACACCTCAGAACTTACTTGTGACTGAAATGTCATAACTCACCATTCCTTCTTTCCCCCACACCCTTTTCTTTCAATTAAGACATTTCAATGACCCTTAATTGCCTAGAGAACAAGATTCAAACTACTAGGCATAGAAATAAATGCTTTCTCCTTGGCTGACTCTCCTCTCCTTTCTAGTCTCTTCTCTTAGGGCAGCATGAGCTAGCAGTGGCTTGCATTTATAGATGCCCGCACTTGGTGTGTTTCCCCCATTCTTTGAAGTTGCTGCAGCCTCCCTACATCTCTCCACCCAGCTCTCTGGATTTGCTTTAAGAGGCCTTCAGGAAGCTCTCTTTAGGCTCCTAGATCTTGTGTGATCCAATAGTTATCTCTTGTTTATTTTAAAAGCTTACATCTGGAAAAATTCTTGGCGTCTTCTATGCATGCTAGAATTTTCATTCCACATGCTCAGGAGTTTCACTTTGTTCACAGCTGCATTTCTAGTTCCCAGGACAGGATGTGACACAGAAACTTGTGCTGACTGGAGGAACACACAAAAGGCTGCCTGGACAAATGCTCACAAATGGGTTTTTTCCTCTCCTCTCCTCCGTTTAAGATACAGCGCAAAGGAAAGTTTCTTCATGCATCTGTTCTTGTATGCATCTGCATTCAGACCTCTCCCCTGGGATTGATGTTCTTAGGTTTTATGTATCTAGAAAACCAGGGTTGGCAAATTCTGCTCTGTACCCAACTAGTTTGTCTCAGTCTCAGTTTTCGGGGGTGGGGGCTGTCACATTTGACTAGGAGGAGCTTCTTGCCCACATTTTTCTTTTCTTTTCTTTTTTTTCTTTTTGCATACACAGGTAGTTTGTAAACAGCGTGGTCATGTCTGTCATTAGCAGGTGAAAAGATCAAGTTGTTTAATAGTCTAGAATTGGGAGTTCAGACCCTACTCAAAGCATATCCTTTTGGAGCCTGGTGATAGTAATAAGATATTTAAAATATGTGTCTGTTTGCTTGATCATTTAATGTGTGTGGGGACATGTGTATATACATGTGCGGGAGTCAGAGGACAACTTCTGGGAATTGGTTCTCTCATCCTACCACCTGGGTTCCAGTATTAAACTCAGGTTGTCGGGCTTGGTGGCAAAACCTTTACCTGCCAAGGAATTTCATCTGTCCAAGGTACTTTTCGAGGTTTCCACAAACTATTGGGAACAGGAAAGCCAATGTTACATTTATTACCCAATTTTAAAAAACAAATGTATCATTTTCTGTTTACTTAGAGATATATATTTCATATCTTGGATTAAAAGAAAATCTGTACTTGATTCGATCCACCTGAACTTCATTAGGAACACTTTGGATAAGAGCCACTATAAGCAAATATACATTTATAAAATTGTGGACAATTTTATAAGGCCTCAATTGAGTTTTGAAAAAAATTGTGGAATTTGTGGAATGCAGAATTCTTATTTTGGGGCTTATATGAAAGTGATTCCTAAGTTTTCTGGACATCTCTAGTAAAATTAACTTTTATTAATAACACAAATTAACAGCAATAAAAGGATGCAAAATCTGGAGTTAAGACTGGATCATTGGGTCTAGAGAGATAGCTCAGCTAATAAAGTATGTTCCTTGCAAGGACGGGGACCTGAGTTTGATTCCCACATGGTAGAATGAGAAAACCAATTCCCATATAAAGAGCTGGGTACAGTGAGTGGTGTGCAGAGGGAATCCCTGTACTGAGGAAGAGACAGGCCTAATCTAATCAGAGAGACCCAGATCCTCTAAAAGAACAGTGGATAGCTCCCAAGGGCCAACACCTGTGCACTCAAACACACACACACCCTGCATACCCTTACAAATTGGAATGCCAAGACAGATAGAAGTGACAGAGGCTTACTTGTTCTTTGAGCTGATTCACTTTTTCTTGAAGAAGCCTTTTCACCAGCTTTAGTTTTTGTTCAACTTCTATCATTCGTTCTTCCATGAGATTTACGAGGTGTTCCTGGCTTCCCTAAGGAGAAGAGGGAGAAAGAAGTGTATTATCATTTGAAAAATCATGCCAACTAGAGGTACTGGTAGTGACTCTCCCCATAAGACACTTAGGAAAAGACAGTCAATGCTTTCCTTCGTAGCCAGAGGATGGGTTTCTAATATAATGGGAGTTCTGGGCACTGCACACGTTGACAATACCTTAGAAAAGTAGGACTATCATAGAAGGATCCAGGAAAAAACAAGGCTCTTACCTTGGTTCATCATTCCCTGATATCAATACTTAAAACCCTAACTGAAACTCATGTGGATTTTCAACACAGTGGCAGTAAATTAAAGCAGGGGACCAACTTTCCACTGTGATTTGTGTCTTTGTGATCCTGTGGGCCTCTGAACATTGCAAACACTGGGTTATTTGGGGTCACCTAATGTTTCCAATCAGCTGCAATGCACAGCTCTCATTTTCCTTTGAAATGACTGGTGACTATCCAAGGGTTAGTTCCGTCTTCTTTATACTGAACATCTTCCTTCCAGTTACCCTACTTATCTGATTCCCAGTGACTTGTCAATGTGAAGCAAATATCAGACTAGAGGATGCATTTATCATCAGAGCAGGTTAGAAGTGAAAACATCTCCTCATAGACATTCAAACCCAGATAAAACCACAGGACAGGAAGAGGCATGGCCTTTCCTCACCTCCTCATACAACAAGGGTGAGAGTTGAGGAAGCAAAATGACCTTGAGAGAGATGACACTGCTCATACCCTCACTTATAAAAATGCCCACACCAGGAATTTCACATTTTAGGAGGTACTTCAAGTCCTTAAGATTATTATTGTCAGTTATTATTGTAGTGCATGTGTTAACAATTTGGGTGATAGATTAGTATTTTTTTAGAGGCATATTTTGAAAAGAATGGAGGATGTTCAAACGTGAGCTGAAACCATGTGACTGATTTGAAGACAAAAAGCTGTATTTAGTATAAGCTTAATATACAAAGTAAACTTCAATACATAGGGCCATGGAGGTCTGGCCTTTTTAAAAAAAAGGCCTATATTTTAAAAGATATTAACTTTTTAATGTTTATGCATAATGAATAATGCTTGCTTCAGAAAACAAAACAGAAAACCACAGTAGCAATTAATTCAAAAGACACTGAGTACTACAAAGGAGAAGGCAGAAGAAAAACAAAGAAGACAGTCATACATTTAAATTTTATTTTATTGTTGCATCAAAATTCCCCCTTTTTCTGTCAAAAAGTATGATACATCATACAAAACAGTATAAATAACCCCGATTTTCTTCAAATTCCATATATAAAAGTAGTACCTTTTTAAAAAAATAATTACAACATATGGAATGAGAAAATATATAGAATATATCCTTTTAAGAATCTTAAATCCACTCTTTAAACCATAAGTAAGCTGATTTATAGCAATCTGAAGTTTGTGACTGATTCACAAAGTCTACATAAATAAGAGACAATACTGTGAAGGCTTTAACAGTGAAGGTAACAGTCAAATAATTTTAAAGAGCACTTGATTCCAACATGTCCCAGCTCATGTCTGTGTGTGGTGTGCATGTGTGTACATGTGTGCATGTGTGCATTTGAGACTCTGTCATGGTAACAAATGCCATCAACAGCGGCCCAGTTTTCAGAGGTGCCCAATCCTTCTGTAGGAATCTGCATGCACTGCTCGCTGCTCCGGTAGCAAGGCCTAGAGAAAGAAGGCAAGTGGGATACTTCACCCTGGTGACAAGATTATGGCTTATTTTAGGGGAGTCTAAGTTCACACATTTATAATACAAACACATTCTTAGAAGCACACACAGTCACACTACACGTGCAAGCAAAGCAACAACACAAAGGCAGAGGAAACTCCTCCCTCTGTTCACAGGCACCATGCAGATTTGTATAAAGTGTAGTATCCTTAAAATTAGAGTCAGCTCAGCAACCAGAAAAAGGAAAAGCCTAGAAGCCATTCTCCTGTGCAACAAATAGGTTCTTTTCTGGCTGAAGGATTTTCTTCTTAATAGTTTCTGTCTAATACTAGAGTTATTGGCACAGAAATTTGTTTGTTCAATTCTCAAATATTGATGGGCAAAAGCATACTTTAAAAACAATGCGTGTGAGAGCAATGAGTATATCTTTGCCACATCACTAGGAGATGTTCAAAAACAGAGGGCAAGGCTTCAGATTTAAACTACACAATGAAGAACTGAAGCTTCCCTTCCATGCTGAACCATAGCCACTTTTATTATAAAATGTCTCCTTAATGCCAGGAGTAGAGCAGGTCTGTGACCAGCTGGAACACAGCTTTAGAGTTCACCCTAGCAGTCTTAATCTTAGAAGCTGACTGTAATATTGGGAGGTGAAAATGGTACAAAGAAAGCTGCTAAAACATGGAGTTTTAAGGCACATAAAGACTTGAAGGTTTGAAGGTTTTGTTAAGAAGAATGAGTGGACAGCACAGCACGGCACGGCACAGCTATCTACCAATAAGAAGAGAAAGCAGAGTGGACTGTGGAACGTGCTAAGCTAATGTGACATGCAAAGCTCCTCTGAGGGGATTAAGAAACTGGAAAACTCCTTATCAGATATTAACTGGCCTTAAGTATTTCTAAACTAGAAAGAATTGAGTTAGATATAAACAAAGGAGACATTTTAATTTTTATTTCTCATTAGTAATTATATGGGTAAGAACAAATTTAGGAAAAATGAAGATTACGGACTAAGGAGAAACAACTATTTGAGCTTAAGTAGTTTTTCAAATCTGATTCTTTCAAATACAGAGTGAAATAAGGAACACAGCGCTAAGGGACTGCACATTCTATATCATCAGTAATAAAGAATCCCCCTGTGACTTCTCAGACCTCAGCAGGCCACACCGCACAAGGAGAACCGAGATTCCTACTCTAGGATTGAGTTTGTGACCAGACAGTTGGGCCAACTATGTACAATACACAAGTAACCTTGATCCTCTGTCAGGTGCAAGTGTGCAAAGGAAGCCCAGCATATGGAATTGCCTGACAGAGAGCTTGGAAGGAAACTGTAAAACCAAAGCGAGTGCCGGCACTGCGGTTCTGTGGATTGTACTCAGGGAAGGCAGAACAATGGTAGGAGATGGAGTTCTTCACCCCCAACTTAGGACTGGTTTATTTTTCAAACAAAAGTAAAGTGGATGGGATGATGTGAGTTTCCCCACGGAGAAGAACACTCTGTACCTGTGGTGTGTTGGTTTCAGAGGTCCTGTTGTCAAGCTCCTCCTGCAGGTGCTGGCTTCTCTTTTCTGCCTGCAGCAGCTGCTGTTGAAGCTGCAGAAACTGCTCCCTGGACACCATCGGACAGGCTTGCTGCTGGAGCAACTGCAGATCCCAGTGAGACGACGGGCTACGCGTCACAGTGGACCTCAGGGGCTGCATCTGAGGGACAAAGACAAAGCCTAGTCAGTGGAGGGCCTTCTGCCAAGGAAGGAGCCAAGCAGGGAGCACTGAGCCCAGGATCCCCTCATGGCTACATAGTCTCTGATCACTTAAACGGGACAAAGCCTGGTGGAAGTGTGTAGGAAGAGCCCTTTTGTTGCCTCTTGGAGATAATAAATTAAGGCTTTCTTAAACATGAAAGAATAGACCTTCCTCTCTCCTGAGAGACTATAAGGGCATGAGGTCTATGATATATACAGCATATCTAAAGTATATCTACGTTTTTTGATTCTAGAACATTCAACTACCTTTTCCCCTTTCATTGAAAGTGAGACAGGAGCTGGGAAGAAAGATGGAGAGAGTACTTTTGCTTTAAGCTTTTCTCATTTTCTTTACCATCATGAAGATTTGTAAAGAAATAGCAACAAGACAGGCAAATGTGGGGCATCAGGTCATAGCCCAGACCACCCAGAACTGAACTAAAAGTATTGTTAAAAAAAGGAAACAGTATTATCAACATGCCGATGAAATTTAAGGAATGGAAAGGAATGCATTTTAACCGAAAGAACATGCTACTTTTCATCTGTCAACACATCAGCAGACACAGGGCCCAATGGGAGGCATGCAATACACACAAGCAGGAACTGAACTCAAGAGGAATCACCTCCAGGCCTATGGGAAGGGAAAAGGACCTCTCAACTCAACTATAATGAAATGTTAGGAAGTTTCAGAGCCACTATCCATTTGTTTTTAATTCTAAGTCTCTGAGGTCATTATCCACTTTGAAATAGTAGTAGTAGCAGTAGTAGTTGTAGATATAAAAATATTACATTACTTATGATACAGAGTATGACAGATTATGAACCCACAGGTTTCTAACAGTGGCACACAGTTTTTTTCAAAATGTCTTAAATACTGAAGAAACCCCTTAAGTAAATAGACATATTCTGCATTAATGCAAAATGAAAAATGAATACTGGCTCTTGTCCACGTACATATAAACTGTCATAATGAACAGAAATGACTGCACAGACACAATGTCGAGATGTTCTCATGCTGTGACAGTTCACTGAAAGAGTGCTCTACCTTCACACACTAGCTCGGGCACAGAAGTATGCCCCGCTCTGCTACTTCCAACCACTGAGCTCTAGGGTAGAGGTTAGCCACAGACAAAAGAAAAACAAAAGAAAATTACAGGAGCTACCGGAAAAGTAAGAAAAGTGCAAGTTACAAAAAGAAAGAACAGGATATTGTGCATATGAATAAGAGCATACACACAACAACGTCACCTTTGCTGCATGTCAGCTTACAGTAAAGGACCTTACAAACTGCAGTTCTGCAGTGGCATCCTCATTGACTGTAATCTGGTTGGCTGTGAACTTGTGAGGTTTATCCATACCCAGATCCAGTAAGCACTGAACCTGGGGTTAAATCTGGTGCTGAATGGACACCCAGAAGAAAAGCATTTTTCTTCAACCCTCTAAACTGGGCTACCAAATGATACAGCAGACAAAGAACAGCTAGGTAGTGTGTAAACCTTTCTTTGAACGTTCAAAATAAATTGCTCACTTAATATTCAACTATGTACAGCTGAAAACGCCCAGGAGTCAGTTTCAGGCCAGAAGTACACCGGAGTGGGTATATGTTCACGTGTGACCCTTAAACTAGTTTGTAGAGATGAAGTAGACTTCTTCCAAGGAAGTATGTACATCAGGTAAGACTCATCTAGAAAGATTTTCTCAAAGTCTCTGACCCCAAAGATGTGGATACAGGAACACTTCCTTGCCTGCTCATCATACCTCAACCCCACCCATGGGGAAAACTGCCAGAGAGGAAGGAATGTGTGGATTCCTCAGGTGAGTATAAAAGATAGCGAAAGCATCTGTACACCACCCCCTACAATCATACTGCAACCTGACTTGACCAGGCTGGTGGGAAGAGTAGTTACCGATTAGGGTTAGAGCTGAGAGTGATGAAAGGTTTCAGAAACAATGGACTTAATGGAAGAAAGTCATTGTATCATAAACATAAAAATGGGTAAAGTTGCAAAGTTGTTTTATACATGTCCCTAAGGTTTAAGAAGTAAAACCACACCCCAAGTCCAACTGTATAATTTAAACCTGTGAACTGTACAGGATGTGAATTATCCCAGAAGACCTGTTAAAAGTACATTCTGGAACTAGATGTGGTGATGAGTGCCAGAAGTACTCAGGAGACTAAAAGCCAAGGAATGGTAAGTTCAAGAGCAGCCTGAGCTACATGGCTCAGAAAAGCAAAGAAGGAAAAATAAATCCAGTCTGTATAACTATAGAATTAATAACTCAGTCTTGCTTCCTAATGGGAGTTTCATTTGAATAGTATATAAAATGTTCTTTTCTGTGTTTAAATTTATGCTTTTTCCTTATTCAGTTCCAGTACCAAGAACATTCATTCTCCTTATCAGAAAATATTTACTACTAGGGAAAAAGAATGGCAGGAAATGGCTGATGCCTGTTAATAATAGAAATGGGCCTGGAAGAAGGGAGATTCCCAGGCTAGGGCAAATAGGTGAAGCCCCAGCTTACTGGTAGAGCATGTGGCCCGAGTCCAGTAGTGAATAGCATACACACTCTGTCACCCTTCAGGTTCTTACCAGAGCTCAGCTTCAGACACCTTACTCATTAGAGCCTCTTAACTATTTCACATCTACATCAAAGCACAGGCTGAACTCACAGTTGTGAATCCATTTATGGAGATTCCACCAATCTTCCCATTAGTGGATAAATCAGAGAACATAAAATTGTCAGAAACCTCAGTGGTCATTTAAATGTCAATGTGATACCTTTGCCAAATTTCACATTACTTTAAAGCTAAACATTAAAGCCACCTTACCATATATCCAGCTTTATAAGGAAAATACTTTGCCAGGCATGGTGGAACACACCTTTGATCCCAACACTTGGGAGGCAGAGGCAGGCAGATCTCTGAGTTCTAGGCCAGCCTGGTCTACAGAGTGAGTTCCAGGACAGCCAGGGCTACACAGAGAAACCTTGCCTTGAAAAACCAAAATAAAATTAAACAAACAGAAAATACTTTGAAACCTTCCTTCCTATAATCCTGCCTTGGGAAAAAAAAATGTGTACACACAGTACTTTAAGAAGATAGCAAGATATATTCTATGTGTATTTCCTTATACAGATTTTATAGTTCATTTCATGTTAGATTAATTTTTCATCTACCCACAGCAAAATATCTCCGTCAAGTCTTCACTTACTGAGAGCTATGCATTTGTTCATATCCTGTAATGGTACAAAGCACCCTGGTTGCCAGGGCTCAGTGTACACACATTGGTCAGTTTTCCAAGTCAGCTTAATATTTGTCAGTTGTACCTTTAGCAAGGTACTGCTGAGTTACAAATGTAGCCATAAGCCATGGACACTGTTTTTTGATCACTAAGAATCCAACCCAAGGTTTCACAAATGCAAGGGAAGTTCTCAGCCACTGAGCTCTATCTGTGTAAGATGGCAGTGCCTGGGCTGGAGAGATGTCTCAGCAAGAGCCCTGACTGCACTTCAATAGATCCAGAGTTCAATTTCCAGCAACCACATGGTGGCTCACAACCATCTGTAATGAGATCTGATGCCCTCTTTTGGTGTGTCTGAAGACAGTAACAGTCTGTAAATAAGTAAATCTTAAAAAAAAAGGGGGGGGGAAGAAAAAAGATGGCAGTTCCTGAAAAGAAACCTAAATTCAGATGCTCTAGAGTTCTAAATACATCCGGACAGGTAGTCAGAGAGTGATTACATCATCAAACAGTGTAGGAGAGGACATATCGGAAAACTGTTACATATATACCAATGACAAGAGAGCTCTGGGCCCCTCAGGCAGTATCAGGCAGAGTCCCTGTGATCCACATTTATTGGTGTATACAGGTCTTTACGTTTGGGGTTGAGGTTATTCTTCATTCTGCAAAGCAGCACAGACACCTATGACTGTAAGTAACTAAGCAAACTTGTCTGTTCATTTTGGGAAGACAGACCAAAGAATCAAGCCGGACAATTAGACTTTCCCAGCAGGAATCCAATGCCATGCCTGGTCTCTCCTGATAAGAGGCTTGTAGGTATTCTCCACAGTTTAGATAATTTACTAACCTCCATTAGCTTCTCATCCAGTCTCACCTGTTTCTTCTTCAGACCTTCATTTTCCAGATGGATTGTTTCTAATTCTCGCTCAAGGGAATTCATCTGACTGACCTGTAAAAACAAACAAACAAGCAAACAAACTAAAATTACAATAATAAAAAAAAACTTTTAAAAAACGAGTTGTTCTATTTTGATAAATTTGCATTAGAGACCTTTAGTCTTGGAAGAAAGCAAAGAAAATGAACAAACAACAGTTAAGTGCACATCAGTGCACAGCTGGCATTTAAGCAATCTGGATTTAACCACCATGTCTCACAAAGACCAGATTTTTCTAAGGCAGCTGGCTCTAAACTTCTCTGCCATCCACTGTAAGAAATACACATTACCCTCCAGCGAAGTAGCTGAGCCCACAAGTACGCGTGCACACATCAATTCCAAATGCATACTTAGTTGGAAAAAATATTTAAGAAAACACAGCCCTAACCCTCTCCCCCTGCATCAGCACTGCTCGGCTTGCTTTACAATCTTATACCTTCTCTCACTCCTGATGCTTGTTTCCCATTAGGGTCTTATTAATAATCTCCATTTTTCAGAGACTTCCTCTTTGCTCTAACACATTTAACTTCATAAATAAGAGTAAAGATAAAAGCCAAAAGCTTTTCTTTATGAATTTCTAAGTAAATTCTTTCTATTCAGATGCATATTTCTTTCCAAATACTTATCAAACATTAACTGGGAGGTAAGGAATTTTCCAATTTCTTAATCCCTTCAGAGGAGCTTTGCAAGTCACAGTAGCTTGGCATGGCCCATGGTCCACTCTCCTTTCTCCTCTAAGTAGATAGCTGTGTCTGCCGTGCTGTGCTGTCCACTTCTGTCACTCATTCTTAACAAAACCTTAAAACTTCAAAAAGTTGTTGTTTTGTTTGTTTTTGGTATTGCTTTTAAAACCTAGGTTTTAGGGCCTAGATTGCTAAGTGGTTAGGAGCACGTACTGATCTTCTAGATGAGTTCCTAGAAACCATGTTGTGTGGCTTACAACAGCCAATAACTCCAGCTCCAGGGGATCTGACACCCTCCTTTGGTATCTACACTCATGTGCACATACCCACACACCAACATGCAATTTAAAATGAATTCTTTTAAGGTGATGTGTGTGTGTGTGTGTGTGTGTGAGTGAGAGAGAGAAAGAGAGAGAGAGAAAGAGAGAGAGAGAGAGAGAGAGAGAGAGAGAGAACTGTCTTCCCCCTAAAAGCTTAAATTGTTCTTGTTTTTTTTTTTAAAAATCTTTACTCAATAAAAAGAACAATGATACTGTTTTGACAAGATTATGAAGACATCAAAGCATCTGAGGAAGGCTCAAAGGCTGCCACTCTTTACAAGAAGCAGATACTGGGGATACACTGGTCAGAACACAGGTATGTCATTATACTTGAGAAACTCACCTTCCTACTAGTAGGAGATCGTTCTTTCTGAGACTGTTCACACTCTCTCTTTAAGGTAAATTTTTCTTGTTCCATGGGCTTCACAGTACATGACTGATTGAGTTGTTTTTGGTGTTTAGTGGGAAGAAGGTTGGATTCCAGTTGACGGACCTAGTAAGAACAAGGAAGAAATGCTTATGTAACCAGATGGCCAGGAAAACAAATGGCAAACAGGGAATGTTTTATTTACTACTTGGGTTTCATGATATTAAAAAGCACTTATTTAGCTGGTCAGGGTAGTTAGAGGGCTGAGGTCTCAGTTACCAGGGAGACTGAGGCAGGGGATCATTATAGCCCCTAAGTTCAAATCAACCTGGGCAACACAGCAAGACCTAGACTCTGAATTCTGAAGCCTATTTTTTTTAAAAATTATTTCTAAACATCCTTTCTAGATAAACCTGGTTGAGCTTACAAACTCAGCATTAATGGCATGTTGAGGAGATTTCTCTGTCAGTTAAGTCTCCAGGAGCCCAGAGGGAGTGTGAGGGAGAGCTGCTGAACAAATAGGACAGCAGTCCTAGGTTCTGTGGCTCCGTCATGGGGAGAATATTTAGAGGTGGCTAAGGTTGACTCTGGTAGAGACTGCTGTTGGACCTATGCATCTGCATCTGCCAATCCCATGAGGACAGGGAACACAGCTGTCCTATTCCCACTGGAGATCCAGTAACAGTAGGTTCTTCTGCACACAGTAGGTGTTCTCAAGGAAAACTCATGATGCTTGGAATTCCACAGCAAACATGCTGAGACACAGGTTATGTGGTTGACAACACAGCACAGGTAAACACGTGTTAGCTGTGTGGTTATCAAAACTTTAAAAATTACTCTGGCCTTGAAATGCTAAGTCTCTACAAAGCACCAAATTTTCTCTTACAAAGAGTTAGCCTGACCCTTAAGATCTGAGTCTGATTTTGCCATTTTGTTATTATTGGTCTGGGCAACTGACCAGTTTGAATGAGGAATATATGGATATCATAATTTCTACCAGTTGGTACTTTTAATATGAGGGTTAAAGTCACAGATGTATTTAAATATACAATTGTTTATATAAAATTAGTTTAAATATATAAATTTATATATTAGTAAATGAAAACTTATTCATCTCAAAATAAGTCTGCCATTACAAGGTACTCAAATCTATTCTAAGACCATATCCAACAGCTCATTTTCATATCTAAGTAGTCACTTCCAACATGCAGCTTTCAAGTTACCTTCTCCCGGGAGTGTGTGAGGTCTGCTTGGGTGTTCTGTACCACAGTCTGGAGTCTCTTGCTTTCTTGACAAAGCAGCTCTGGTTCCTCATTCATCAGATGGTCCAGTTTGTCCCAGGACAGCCTTTTCTGCTGGCCCTGGAGGCCTGAGAGATGGGGAGCTGTTTCTGAGGCCCAGTCCTGAACAGAGAATTAGAGCATTAAAACCTACTAGCAACCTGAGCACTTCTGTCCTGAGACAGGTTTCCTGCTTACCTAATGATAATCCTCAGTGAATACTTTTCAAGCTTATGTGTATATACATAGGAAGAAAATGATACTCCTGGATTTTGATTTTTTTAAAAAAGGTTCAAGATGATCATTGGTAAAATGGTCCAGCTGACTTCAATAGAAAGTCTGATGGATGCATTCTGACAGGGTCTGCAAAGGATTCAAGTGTCAAGAAGTTGGTGGTTTCAAAGTTTCGTCCTTCTGGGGAAGCCAGCCCTCTTTGAACCTAGATAACACTCTTGATTAACAGAAGACACAGAGAACTCAGAAGCACTGCATGCTTCCACAGGCTTCCTATCTGGCTTTCATATAGGCAAGCTTGCTCCTTTTTAGACTCCAAAGTACTTATTGCCCTTGCAACCGAGGCTTGAATTCAGGAATACACTTTTACGGTACCCAAGAGACTTTTTTTTAATCCTAAAAAAATAACGTTAGAAAATTTAAAAAGGTAGCAGGGTTAGATAAGCTCCTGCCTTTTAAGTCAAACATGAAAAAGGAAGTTTAAAAGGTTTGAGGGAAAATGTCAAGACCTTTGGTATTTTTAAAATTGAAAAACCTACCTTACTTTATTCTAAGTATTATCCACCAAGAGATAAAATAACTGAATCATGGGCTAGGTGTTTTTTTATAATAGAATAAAAATTTAACACCTACTGGACATGCAGAATGCTTCTAACGATTTGTGAGAGCACTAAGCAGCTCTGTAATATTTAAAATGAGATGTGTTTTTAACAGCAGGAAGGGCAGCCAGCTATTTTTTAAAGCAGCTTTCCCTAGACTTTCTGTTAACACAGACGCAAGCTAATTGGCAGTGGTGACTCAGAAGTCATTGCCATTGTCTTACAACAGAGGTTTCCTTTTCTGTACTTTTACTTTTTTTTTTTTTCCCTCTGTAGATGGGTGTTCCTAGCTTAATTTCTCTCAATGTTTTTCTTGGCTGGTTTCCCACACATGCTCTTGTTTAAAGTTTTGAGAATGCTTTTGTTTTAGTATTATAAATCTCAGCTCAGCTATGTTTTTTTTTTTTTAAACTTCTTTGGTCTAAAAAAAATACCTTTTGTACCATTATAATTCTATTTATATGTGGTTCAGAAGCAAATATCTCTGACCTATAGTGTCAGAGAATACAAAAGCAGGTCCCTGGGGTTATCAACGGGAGGGGACAATATAGACAGAAATATCTTACTGTTTGGTCCAGTAGTGGCTAAACAAACAAACAAACAAACAACTATATATAAAACCAATTTGACTAAACAGACTAAAATAATTTACAGTATAATTGCGAAGAAAGAAAGGGGTAACCTTGTCAACAGCATTTTGAAGTTGTCTGTGCAATGTCATCACTTCCTGCTTTAGAGCCTCCTTTTCCTGTTGAGTCACTTGGAGGTCTGATTCAATCTGGGCCATTTGAAGGTTTACATTCTGTAGGATATCTTCTAAATTCTGAACCTGTGTGGTGAGAACAATTGTATATGGTGACACAAACATTCATGGTCTCACCTCTTGCATGTCCAGGAAAGGATAAACAAGGGAATGCCAAGGTCCCTTCCGATATAATTTGCTACATCCAGTTCTCTTTCCAGCAATTCAGTGGAAATTCAGGATGCTACATATATTTACAGTTAAGTTATATTTAGGAAAAGGACAAAACATTTTGGGGGGCCAAGTACTGCTGACATGGGCATCCACCAGACTGCCAGAAGCTGGGAAACAGAACTGAGGAACGCCTGGTGCCATGGCCAACCATACTCACATTGAATCTCGAAAAACTACATTTGAGTCTTAAGTGTTGGCTTGTGAAGGACCTCTCGGTTGAAAATAATAGTTTGTATTTGCAGAATTCTACTTTACACTAGCATCTCAAATATGTCTCAATTCAATTTAAGTTTGTAAAAGGCAGGTTGGTATCTTGGTCTTTCAGCATTAGAGGGCATGGACTTGCTTTAGAAATCCTGTCCTGCATTAGGAACAAGCCTCTTGAAGCTCTGTCCTTCATAAGGTAGCACTGCTCACAATAAGTAAGCTCAGGGTTAATGGGCTTCACTGGATACAGTATGTTTTAAATTGTTTTGCAATATTGTAAATAAAGATGTCTCAAATGATGTCCCATGGGATTATTCTGAGGCTCCTTGAGCCAGTCTCATCTTGAACACTCTTTCTACTGGGCCTTTCTTTGGAAGGTAAAAATACTAGAAAATACTAATTACAGAGATACAGCAAGAACTGTCTACTCGCCTTTTCCTGGGATACAGCCAGCTGTGACTTCAGGCTCTGGCTCTGCTCTTCCCAGGCCTCCTGTTCCTGCTTCATTGTGGCAATTCTGTGCTCTAAGAGACTTGATTCGGCCAACTGTTCCAGATAGGACACAAAAGGTAGGAGAGCATTTGTACAAGCAAGACTGTGTTTTCCATCACTTCCATAGAGAACCCCCCCACCCATCTACCTTACAGAGAAGGCCAGGCAGGGGTAGGGGGAAATGTACATCATTACCATCATGAACCAGTTTACCTGCCTTAAGGAGAAGGCCAGTGGGTGGGGGGGGGTGTTGGGGGAGGGTGAAGATTTCCTGGGTCTGTCCTACTTAATGTCATGCCTCTCTTCTTTGCTGGGTTTTCCTTTTAATGTTCCCCCTCCCCTCAGCATATCCTATTTTGAGGGCAGGTAATAGACTGAAAGGTAATTGGAAATCTCAAGACTGTATTTTAACACAAAAATAAGGCAGGTGGAGCAAGGAAAGCAACATCTTTGTATTGTTCGTGAAGGTATAATAGAAAAAAATAGTGTTTGTCTATGATAGATTTCAGAGGATAAAAGCCATATTTCTATCATGTAATACAGTTATTATTATTATTATTATTATTATTATTATATGGAATAGCATCATGATATAGTGAGACAAAGTCATGATGATCTCAATGTCACTAGTCTAGGGTCACATAACTCCACCTATAACCTTGGTCTAATACAGGAAGTCCAGGGGCTGCAGCCCGTAGAGAAATGCCCACTGTGGCACGAACTGACAATGAAGGGACACTATTGTCTCTACTACCTTATCTGCACAGCTCTTTAACTCCTCACTGAGAACTTCTTTTTCCTTCAGCAGTTTTTCGTTGTAGCTTAGAATGCTAGACATTTTTTGCTGGAAGTCAGAGAGGTCAGGACATCTGTGCAGCTGTAAGAGATTAAACAAGTGAGCTGTCACCTCCCTGCTGTGTGTATGCTATAAACTTGAAAAGGAGTTATTTGTAAACAGGGCACTTGTGTGGCCCTGAAATCTTCCTGTCTGGACATATTTCAAAGGACATATAAACTCTAGAAGCCTAGAATTAACTTTGACTAACTGTTCCCAACTAACTAGCTTCTCACGGTTCCCTAGCTGACTACTGAAATGTCTGCTTTGACCTAAAGATGCAGGCAGATGCTGCTAAATCATGGTCCTAGCTTTCAATCTTACTGTCCCAGTTTAACTTCTGCATGGTACATGTTACATTTTTTAATCATGGTTTTGGGTATTCAAACTGTATTTTTCAAACTACTTCAGTCAAGACCATAGCATTAGCTGAACATAGTAATCCTGTGCTGGGAGGTTGGGAATGGATTTAGAACAGCAGTTCTCAAGCTGCAGGTTATAACTCCTTTGGCAAACCTCTATCTCCAAAATGTTTATATTATGATTCATAACAGTAGCCAAATTACAGTTATGAAGTAGCAACAGAATAATTTTATGGTTGGAGGGTCGTAGCATTAGGAAGGTTGAGAACCACTGATTTAGCATATCAGTAGCTCAAGGCCAGCCATGAGCTACACATATAGTTGTTTCTAGTTAAACTAGGGCTTTACTTTACCCTGTCTCTAAAAAGAAAAGAAAAAAGAGTTACATAGCATGTTTGTACATATCTATAATCTTAGCACTCAGGAGGCTGAGGCAGGAAGATTGGAAGTTTGAGGCTAGCCCAGGCTACACATCAAGATCTTGTTTCCAAACCAAAAACAAACTAGGGGGTTGGTATTTCTCACATACAAGTATCAGCATGTGGGCAAGTGAAGGCTGTGCCTTCTCCTGGGAAGAAACCCAATGGACTACCAGTTGGAGTGGACATGCTGGCTTCCTTCTCTCCGCTCACAGCGGAGGCAAACCAGGCTGCTTCTGGTCTTTTCAGCATTCATGATGGTCCCAGTGTCACGCTGGATACCTTGTTGCAGAGGTCTTTCTGTACATTGCAGGATGCTTCACAGCATGTCTGGCTTTATCTGCTACACTCAGTAATACTGTCTCCCCAACTTGTGAAAACCAAAAATGCCTTGGTGTTGGGGAGCAGTGCTCATCCTGACCTAGTTGGAAACCACTCCTAGGAGCCAAGTTTCCCAGGCCCTTTAATCCTTCCTGGCCTTTATACATGTTTTAATAAGAGCATTCCTGTTTGCCTTTCACGTGTTCAACTCTCTGTAACCATTATGATATAGCCATCTCCCTATATGAAGGCCTCCCACATAACACTGGAATTAGCTATGACAACATAGATTTTACAGGTTGGAGCTTGTTTTCAACTGATAGCAACAAATCCAACATACCTCATAAGCCTGAACAAGTTAGAAGGATATAGGAAAACGCCCTTGAAGTATCTGCACATCAATGTAATATGAGGCCATTTCCTTACCCCAGTACCTGGGCTCCTTAACTCTATAACACCCGTAATGTTTGACACCACTTTGGGTATCTATCAGGGGACTTTCTTTGGATGCTATTTATGCTTCTTTTTGGTGTGATATGTAATAGATATAAAGTGTTTCCAGAGCTCTAAATCACATCATACAGAGTGACATGCTTTCTGGGTCTGAGCTGCAGGGCAGCAAGGATGGGCTGGCTACCTAACTGCACCTTACTTTAAAGTCCTCGTGACAGAACGACTTGCTACCATGTGCACATAGGGACTTGTGGCTATTTCTATTTACCCTAATGGTTTGGAAAAGTGTATAACAAAACGTACCAAGTGATGCCCTCCTCAGTTGGTTTTCTCCAAGTGTGCTCTTTTTCTTGTGCTCTGTAGCTGAGCAAAACCTCACAGTATGCACATGGATTAGGCATTATCTCTGAGAGGGTGAGTAAGCAATGTCTTCAAAGCTACAGGGGAGATGGGGCACTCTAAATGATATTTACATTATAATTAATTATAGCAATGGCTCGGAGACACTCTCACCTCACAGAAAGACTGTGAACCTTAGCTTCTGGCATGCTATATGGCACAAATGGAGTTTTTACTTGTGGCAGAAAAGATACACTCTGCATTACAGTGCCTGGCATAGAAAGTCTTATAAAATACTTGTTTGGTACCAGTCCTGAGTGAAGCATTACCACAGACACAAGTGCTCTGAGGTCTTACACCATTACCAGGTAAGGAAGTCAGTTTAGAGATCAGCTCAAACAATAGCGATGGTTCAGGTATAGTGTGAGCCTAGTTATGCCTGAGCTGCTAAAGCATTTGGGAAAAGGCACTTGATGCTTACAGGCCGAACAGATATAGGAAGGAACATTTTATAATGTGATAGCACAAATAGGAAAGTAATCAGAGGGTGGGCAAATGAATGGAACAACGAAATTCTATTATAAAACGAGACTGGTGCAATGTGAACCTTCTTACACACGATAAAAAATAAAGAAGATTGGAAAACATCCCATCCATAGTTTTTTGGATCCCTGCTTTATATTTAAAATTAAGTCTTTGAAGCTCTGAAATAGGCTTCTAAAAGCCAAACTTTTTTTTTTTGAGCCAGGGCCTCACTGTAGCCTGTACTGATCTTGAACTCACAATCCTCCTGCCTCAGTTTTCTGAATGCTGAGAGCACAAGCAGGCAACCTCATACCCATACTGAGCTCTATATGTTAAACTTGTAAATGTGAGAGAGTGTGATCTGAGGACACTGGAGAGCGTGTTCTCCTAGGAGGTGCCTTCCACTTGCCACAGGGAAAAGATACAGGTGGGACCAACTTCATTTGGGTCTCCAGAAATCAGAGAACAGTTCTAGAATTCATGAGCCAGAAAGTCACTCTCTTATCAGACAAACTATTGTTACTTTTTCATCTGGTCTGGAGAAAGTAGAACAACAAATATTTGAATCTGAAATGGTTAGGAATCATAGTAACAGAAGTTTAGAGTCTACCGTACAAATAAGCTGTTTCACTAGGGAATTAGTAACACACTTGCAACTCAAGTCGTCAACTTGTAGCAATAAACAGGTCTAGCATCTATGGTGCAGAGGGTATTTGGTGGCTGGAGACGCTGCATCAGGTGGTGCTGGGCCTGACTTCACTCTAGTAGCAGACTTACTTGCTTCAGTCTCTCCAGTTCATCTTTGAGAAGGAGGTTTTCCTGCTCCACAATGTGAGTCTGCAGTTTTACTTCAGAAAGTTCTGCCTCCAGAGAAGACACCAAAGTGGAAGTCTAAGAAAGATATCAGGCACATAACAGACATAGTCACTGGCTGGGGAAGCTTTACCAAACCCACAGAAGACTATCACAAGGGAACAGTAAGACCAGCTCAATGGCATTGCTTTGAGAACATTTATCCTTATAGTCAAAGAGCTAACCAAATTATCTTCAAAGACTCTCCATGTGTACAGCATGGGTCTGAGGCCTGACCCATATCTTTGGCTGTTTCTCTCTACTTATAAAGTTACCTTCTCCTGGGAGAGGTCCTCTGAGACTGTGCAGATTCCTTCTTTGACTTTCTGCTTATTCATCCTATGCCCACACAGTGCATTCTGGCTACAATAACTATCACTTGGGGTTTTCCTGAGGATGATATCTGTTTTCTTTCTTCATGTCTGCTTTTGTTAGATTTCTACAAGAAAGAACAGTTGCTTCTCCTCTAATTGTTTATTCAGTCAATCGATGCAAATATGTACTTAGATGGCTATTACACTTGCAATTATTTCATTTTACACTATATTTCACTGATGAAACCACTTGAAGCTACGCTAGTAGGAACTCCTTTAGGTGGGGGCTAAAGGAATTTGTCCTATTTTTAATTTTTACTTATTTATTTTTTTTTTAGCATCTTTTTCTGTCTGGAACTATGGGACATTTCAGGTTTGACTTGTATCTTTTCTGTTTTAACCTTGGAATCACTAAGATTTCCCAAGGTGCTTTTATAGGATGATAGTTGGAAATCAAGATCTGGTTACCCCATACAAACACACATCTAAGAGTCTCTAGCTCTCTGAGACTGACGTCTCTGATCCTGGCAATATCAGAGGGTTCCCCTTAGCCCTCCACACTCTGACACTGCAAGTTTCTTCTCGAACAGCGAGAAACACCGCTCTCATCCTTGGCCTATGCTCTATGCACTTACTCATTCACTTCTAGCAGACACGAAACAACCTTGTATGCCTACAAGAATCACAGTTTCTGAGTAGATTATTAAAGTGTTTGTGGACTGCTCATTCTTTCTGTCCCTACTGTGGTTATACTGCACACAGTGCTGGTACCATTTGTTCTTTTTATAGTCCTGCACCCGTCAACATTGATTTGACTATAAAGCTGTAAAGCTTGCGTGAAATAGGGCAGGGATATAGCTCAGTGGTAGAGCAGTTGCAAAGCTCCAGGTTAAATGACCAGAACTGGAGAAAACCAAACTCATGTGAAACACATAAGAGTCACAGTCACAGCTTTTTATAAAGACAAAGTCAACAAAGCCTGGCTCCTCAGCCTTCCTACACATTCCCATTTCCCCGTCTGTGTCTCTCCCTCCTAACCTCTCCTAACCTCTCTGAAGCCATGTCTTTACTGTCTGGTTTATTGCTCTCACATAGTCCCTTAACATAAATAGGCAGACACACGTGTTTCTTTTCTAATGTCTCTCATTGTGTATGGAAGCACACTGCAGATACACTTTGTGGCTCCATCAACAAATGAACATCATGTCCTGGAAATCATTGCACATTGGGTGTTCTCATTTTTTTATGTGCCTTCTTTTTTAACAGCTGTGTAACACTACGCATTGTATGGCTAGACCACAAGTCTTAGATCAATCACGCATGAGCATCATGATTGTTCCAGCAACTTTGCAAACACGAACAAAGCTGGAGTGATTATCCTCATGTGTATGACTTTTCACGCGGTTGCAAGGATATGTTGAGGCTAAGTTCCTAGACGTGAGACTGTGGGGCAAAAGGTGAGTACACGTGGGATGATGGCAGGTCATGCCAAAATACCTCTGCATGGATGGTAGCAGCACACAGCACCACGAGGTTTGAGGATGTCTGCCAACACAGCCTTGCCAGGAGAACATGCTGCTGGGTATTTCTGAACAGACACCAATCTTTCAAGCGAGGAATTGCATGCCAGTACTGCATATTTTACATTTCTCTAATTATGATTGATTTGGAACATCCGTTCAGAGCTTTGAGGGTCATTTTTATATATTTTTTTAAAATCTTCTTTGTTCCTGTTTTTTTTCCCCACGTTGCGATCAGATTTTTCTTATGCTCCTAAATTTCCTTCTACTTTTTTTAAAAAAAAATTTTCACGTTTATTGATCTTGTGTGTGTATGTAGGTGCCTGAGTGCATATATGTGAACTACATGCATGCAGCAGCCCTCACAGAAGAGTCATGAGATCCACCGGATGTGGAACTGTGAGTTGTCATGTGTGTTCTGAGAAACAAACAAGGGTCCTATGCATGAGCATCAGTGCTTTAATCTCCAGCCGTGTCTCCAGTCCAGTGCCTTCATTTCAGGTTCTTTTTTTACTGAGAGAGACAGCTCTCTTTCTCTGTGGTTGAAGACAACCTCACTCCATGTGTTTTTCCGGTGTCTGAACTGTTTTATTTATTATAGTTATTTTATTTATTTATACTGTTGGGCTCTCACTTTATGAAATCCAAATCTATTGCTAAATATCTACACCAGGTGCTTAAAAAAACAAAACAACTTTATCTCAACCCCAGCAGGTTGAGAAAACACTCTGATCATACACACTCTTGACATTTATGAGGGATTAGTTCCAGGGGTGCCTCCCCCAATCCCCCCACAAGATATCCAAACCCTCACATGGTCAAGGTCCTTTATAATTGGTTCTGTATTTGCACAGAACCTACACAGTTCACTTAGAGACTTTAACTCATCTCCAGCAATACAATGTAAATGCTAAGTAAATATTTGTTACCTGTGTACTTTAGAAAATATCAACAGCAGCACCAAACAAACAAGAAATCTGTGCATGTCTGGCATGACTAATTCTCTTTTTTAAAAAAAGAATTTTTTTCACAGCCGAGATGAAATGGTTCACAGCTGCTTCACTGAACTCACTCCCCATCTGTCGCGGGAGAATGCTCTATCCCCCTCATGCATTAGATATCTGGAGTATATATTAATGTGCCAGAACAATAATGATTAAATTACTAAGGTCTAATGTATACGACATTTATTTCTTTGGATTAAGAATGAAAAATCTGGGGCTGGAGAGAAGGCCCAGTGGTTAAGAGCACTGACTGCTCTTCTAGAGGGCCTGATGGCAATTCCCAGCAACTCACAACCATCTGTAATGGAATCTTGCGCCCTCTTCTGGCACGCAGGTGTACATGCAGACAGAGCACTCATACATTGTGGCTGGAGACCTGACCTGCACTTTGTAGCGATCCTGTTCTTCTTTGAGGCTCACATTTTCTTGTTCCCATTTCTCAGAGGTGCAAGTTCCTGGCTCATCCTTCTGGCACTGCATTTCTGCCAGACGTTGATTAAGGGTTTTCAGTTCTTCCTTGTTTTGGGAGTTCTTTTGGCTGAGTTCTATATTTTCTGAATCCAACTGTTGGTTTTTGAGTTTTAAATCTGAAACCTAATTAAAATTGAAATAAGTTTTAAAGAATATTGCTGCCCTACTTTTGCTAACAACAACAACAACAACAACAACAACAAAGATTTAGAGTCTTTTCTTCTCTCTCAGTGTGGTTAAAGAAATCTCTGTAAGAGGCTACTGTGCCACGGGGCAGCCTTGCTTCTAGCCCTAGCCACTCTGCCTATGTAGCAGGGGTTCTCAACCTTCTTAACGCTGTGACCCTTTACTACAGTTCCTCATATGGCCGTGACCCCCAACCATAACATTATTTTCACTGCTACTTCATAACTATAATTTTGTTACTGTTATGAATCAAAATGTAAATGTGTTTTCTGATGGTCTTAGGTGACACATGTAAAACACTCATTCAACCCCAAAGGTTGAAAACTATTGCAGTGGAGGAAGAGCCTACTATATGTCTTTTTTGTAATAAATTTAATCTTCCTTTACACATTCTCTTTTACCTACATTTAACAAAAATAATATATGCTCCTTATTACATATTCTACCAATTCAGAAGTATATAAAAAGTTAGACGGAGGTTAATCTCAGGCCACAGGGTGCCTGATTCTTTACTGTTGGATTTGCATACCACTAGATCATTTTCTATGCATATACACTACTATCTTTCTTTTAGCCAAAAAAATAAAAGATAAGGATAAAAAGGATCATTGCATATTTTAACAGCCTGCTTTTTCCATTTCTGATACAGTATAGATGTTATCTTTCCAAGTTAGTGTGCCTAGATGTCACCATATGTTACATATTTTAACAAATGTAGGACATTTTATGTAAAAAGATTCTCCATATTGTCGTTTTCCATTCCTGCATAGATAAGAGATATACATTTGTCTTATCATTTCATTATTAAGCAATAAAATAGTAACAATTCTGGGTTCTGGGTTCATTTGTTTCTGTTCCTTTGTTGATTATGGCCTTGCTGAGTTAGAAAGGAAGTATATATACATTGGTGCTTTGGCAGAAGGCTCCTAAAAGTCTCCCTGTAAGGTGCTATCGTTAGAAAAGAAGTATATATACATTGGTGCTTTGGCAGAAGGTCCCCAAAAGTCACCCTGTAGGTGCTATCAGCTCACTCTTGACAGTGTAGATTTATTTATTTACACACATGTATTTGCTATTATAATATCAATGCTTAATTTTTGTTTAGTAGGTGAAAAAAATTAACCTATTTAAGTTTCCCTAACACCGTGAAGCAAGCCTTTGGATATGTTCTGTCAGGTCTGTCTGTGATTTGATCCTCCTTATTTATCTGTGGCCTATTTTCCAACTGACTTCCACCCCTTATTTGAAATAGTACAAGATGTTGTTACCTTGGCTATTTCAGATACTAAGACTATTTCCTTCCCAAGTATTTCCTTGTCTTATGACTATTTCAGATATGTTCTTAAATAGTCTTCCCATACTTGAGTATATGCTGTAAGATTTATACAAAATGAGCACTGAATGGCATAAGCCATCTGAACAAGCTATACGTCTAAGAAATGCTATGCAGATCTGCTGGCATTCTGTGTCTGTGAATTCTGTATGAAATGTTCTGCTTTGAATCAAAAAATATAGGCGCTGACACTAGTCAAAATCATTAAGGATTAGAACCGATACTCACAGGTAAGGCTCAAAGGCATTGCCTTACCACATGGACTAGACAGAGAGCTTGTATTAAGCATTTAGGGTCTATAGATAGACTGTATATTGCTTTCTAGGTAGGGACCTAGTTTAGAGTCACTATGAGGTGGGTTTCCATGGTCATCCTCAAGATATACAACCTTACCATCATGTTCAATGCATTATTCTAGTAAATTATTTATTATTCAATTTGTAAATTTCAAAATAAAAAGGAAAATGTCTGGGTCAAGAATCACCGGGGAATTTAAAGTGTTTCTTACCTGTTTCTTTAATTTTTCAACCATCTTCTGAATTGAAGCCTTTTCCTGTTCTATGGTTTCTATTTTCTGCCTAAAGGAACAATGAAGACATGAGTCAGGAGTGAAGCTTTTAAATTTGGACCTTAAATAGTTCCTAGTCCTGGTAAAATTTAACTAAACTATGTCTTACCACAATTCTTCCTGAGATCCATTTAATTCCTCCAATTTCAGGTTTGAGATGCTATCTTCTTCATTTAAAGTAGTAATTTCATTTCTCAAAACAGAATTTTCCTCTTGAAGCTTTTCAGATTCATATCTGAAGTGTAGAGATTTAAAAAAAAACAGTTACAACATGGCAGTCATCTGGCATCTTTGGAAAATATTTTCTAGTAACTTCCAATATAGAAAGAATCTCATGCCAGTTAAAGTAGAAGTTTAAATTAGTAGTCTCTTGTTACTTGGAAATCAAGTTGTAACATATTGAGTCGCTACTTTTGGAAAATAAGAATCTCGCTAAAAGACATCGGGGAGGTGTGGGTAGAAACCCTGGAGTGTGGGGACAGGGATCAAAACTCAAAGCCAACTTGGGGTGTTGACTTCTCAATGGCAAGCAGGCTGCTTTTAACAACTGGCTTCATTTATCTCATTCTCAAGTCTTCCCTGCTCTGAACAGACAAAAGCCACATTACTTAGCTGTTGGAGCTTTCATTTAGGTCCCCAGGGAAAATGTACTACATAAGACGGGCACACCAAAATACTCAGTTTACTCTTCTCACTCAATTCTGAAGTTAAAGTAATCTGAGGAAAAGGAAACTCAATATTCACAGCCGATTTCTTTGCTTTATTCCACTAAGATACTTCAGACACAATGGAATATTTTGCAAATTAAAGAAAAACCTAACTTTGATTAAAATACTGAAATGCAGTCTTAGTTCACAAAGTCAGGTTGGTAGTTTTTCAAAGTAGTTAACTTTGCCTTCATCCCTCAAACATGTTTATTACAACTCCTTGGTAACAGATACTCTATGATAAAAATGTACTGTTTCTAGGACACTGGCATATACATCAAGTATGGTAGGAAAAATTATGATCCATTCAATAAGTTTCCTATATTAGTATAGGAAGAGTGTTGTTATCTACCAAGTGAGTTAATACTACATAAGAGGAATTCATTCCATATAACATGCTTCATTAAAATGACGACAGTAACTAACATTGAGCAAAAGGGTATCTATCCCTCCAAAATGACGTCAGAGCCAGAAGAAGGCTGAGAACAAACACCAACGAGACAAGCGGTTAAACAGCAGACACTCGCCGTTTTGTGAGTCTACATTCCATATGGATGACACTAACTTGCTATGAGGAAGGGGATGCCGCCTAGACAAGGCTACTCTAGTTGTTAATACACACAGAAGCAGAAGGTGGCTACAACGTTGCTCTTCAAGACTAATAGGTTAGTGTCTCTAGGCACGGCAAGCAGCGGTTAGATGTGGTCAGTGGCTCAGCAGGCTTCCACGAGGTCTAGAAGGCACATACATTACCTCAGAAGCTCAACCTTCCGCTGCATCTCACTGCACGTGATCTGCAAGTCATGCATCATTGCCTTCAGCTCTTCCTCCTTCTCTCCTTGAGAAGGAGTATCTTTTTGCTTAACTAACGTAGTGACTCGCTCTCTCAAACTTCTAGTCAGCTCCTGTAGCTTTTGCTTCTCCAGTTCTAACTCTGCGATCACGGCCTCATGTTGAAGATGTGTGTCTTGGAGGCCTAGGAGAGCATCATTTCCCTCCAGGATAACTCGATTCTGCAAGCTAGGCTTTTCCTGATGTGCCTGAACTGTTCTGCGGAACCAGGCAATTTCGTGTGCTTTTATTCTTGCTAGGAGCCGTGTGCTACCCTGTTCATAGCACTGGGCTTCTTGTCTACACTCTTCTATGATGTGGTGCATGCTCATGACCTTGGGTGTACACTCTTCTGGAGTCTGATGGAGTTCAAGCCTCTTTTCATCAGAGGTGAACTCCAGGTTTTCTGAAGGAGCTTCCCACAGGGAGTAGCTGTCACCCTGCAGGGTGGCCCTTTCCAGTACCCTCTCCATCTTCCCCTGAAGTCTCAACACCAGAGCACTGAGCTCCTCGTTTTCCAGTTTAACCTCATCGTAACTCTTCTCCAGGCTGAGGAACGTCTCCATCACCTCCTCCATTTTCTTCATCTCATCTTGCAACCTGTAGACCTCAGCGGTGAGCTCTTTGTTACTGTCCAGTGACTCCTCATAGCGAGTCTCTATGAGTCTCAGCTCTTCCTGGAGGCAGGTGTTTTCTCTGGCTGCATCCTCATATAATACCTTATACCTGGAAGATGCCTCAGGGAGTCTCTCCAGCATCTTTAGTTTCTTTTTCAGCACAGAAATATCAAAGAGCAGGTCCTGCTTCCTCTCAGAAGCCCGTTCGCAGTCTGCACGCAAGACCGTCAGTTGCTCCTGAAGCTGGATGATCTGATTCTTCAGGTCCCAGGATCCGGTCCTGGTGTCTTCACTGTTTTCAAGCTCAGAAAAGCACTCCAGGGAAGCTTCCGACTCCTCAGTTTTATACTCCTGCCTCTGAACAGAGCTTGTCCCTGTACTTCCCAGGTCCCTGGCCTCGTGGTCTCCTAGGTCGCTCAGGAAGTGCTTGGTGGCTGTACCTTGTTTCATTATTGGTTCTGCTTGTTCCCTGGAACATCCAGAAATCTCAGACGTCTGCTCCTCCAAACAAGATGAGATCACTGACCCCGGCTCTAACTTTTTCAGCCTCTGTTGCAATCTAGAAATTTCCGTGGCCATTTTTGCATTTTCCTTCACTGCACGCTCGTGAGCTCTCTGTAGGCTGATGAGGACATCTCCATTTTCTTCCAACAGCTGCTCCCCTTGCTGAAGCAGAGACATGGCTCCATTTCCTTCTGCCTCCTCCCCTGCCGTTGCCTGGCAGGCACCCTGAAGCACCAAGAGAGAGGCTGCCTGCTGCATGTCCTTGACCGTATTCTGAAGCCTGCGGATTTCTGCGCTCATCTCTGCCTTCTCTTGATCTGCTCTCTCACAGTTCACTCTGTGGGTGTTCTCCAGGGCAGCAAGCTTGCCTGCCATTTCTCGCCTCTCTTGCTCATGCTCTACCTGAAGCCTTTCAAGCTGCTGGCTGGCCAGCTGCTCAGAGACCCCTGTCTGGCACAGCACCTGCCCTTGCTCTCTCAGCTCTCTCTCCTGACTTCTCTTCAACTCAAGTATCTGATCAGACAGGAGGCTGTGCTGACTCTCAGATGCGTTCCGTAGGTCTTTCAGGTCTTGCGACAGCTTCTCTCTTTCCATGCTTAGAATATTCAAGCGTTCCTTGTATGTCTTCTCCAACATCTCCTGTTCCTGGTTCATGGCCAGAGTGGTTGCCTTCTCCCTCTGGAGCACCTCCTTCAGCTGTTCCTGGGCTTCTGTGCACTCTTGAGCGAGCTCATCCTTCTCAAACTCCCACTGAGATCTCTCCTCCAGGTGCTGGTCCAAGAGGTCCTTTAGCTCTTGGTGGTAGTGACCCTCAAGGCTTTGCAGAGTTTGTTTATAGTGCTCAGTGACTTTCTCACAGTCAGCCTGAAGCTGGGCTTCTATCTGAGAGACTCTTCTATTACACTCTGTTTCCATTTTTTCCCTAAATGTGGTCAACATACAGCATTACTGAAACTGCTGCCAACTCCGGAAGCAAACCCAACATTTTCCCATACAAAAAAGGAGGCTGCCAGGCAGACAATGGAACCATTCTCTACAATGCTCTGATTCCTATGCCATTCGTGTATATAGGGGTTGGGGAAGGATCTCCCTTCTGGAGACCATAAATCCGGGAGACTTATCTTTCTCTGAAGCACAGGGAGCTTACAAAACCAAATCCTTTCATATGCTTCCTGAATGGATTCATGTGGTTTAATGGATGTCTTAAACTTGGCATTTCACATAAAATGGCCAAAGACATGGTGACCTCACTTCTCATCTGGGAAAAACATTTTCATTTGAATGAAGCAGGCACTATAGGATTTCAGTTGCATAAAACAGGCATATTAATAACTGTCTTCTGTTTTTGCTTAATTAATAAAAGAGCGTTATATTAAACAGAGTGGGAAACTCGAAATCACTCAGTTATACCTGGGATTTCACACAGTAAACACAACATGTCATTTCGTGGGAGGGAAGAAATTTAAGTATGTCCAGAATCCAGTTTATAAATGGGTTTTCTCAGAAAGCAACAGCATTGCAGTAGGAAGGATCTAGCCCTCATCTGAGCACAGGAAAACAGTAAGTGTCACACAGGAATAGTTCCTCTGACTGCCCACCCTTCCCTGAATACACACACACCAGAACAGTTCCAATGACCAAGGGAGACTTCCTGGTGAACAAGACAAAACTGGTTGGATTAATTTTTAAAGAACCTACTCAATCTATGGTCTGCTCTGCTCCTCCCCTTCCCATTCCTGGGACTCCTGAGAAGCAGTGTCCAGTTGTTCACGTTCCCCTCACTTTCTTACCTTCCCTCCTGGAGTTCCCTTTGGTGATGTTCTGAGAGCTCTTTCCTCAGCTCTTCTTTCTCAAGAGCATGTTTCTCCATCAGACTCTGCAGCTGTTCCTGGTAAGATTGCTCCAGGTCCCGAGTCAAGCTTCTCACCTTCTCTTCAGTCCAGGCAGCAGCCTGAGCGAGTCCCTCTCTCTCCTGGAGAAAGCTTTCCTCTGCGTGCTGCAGCCTGGCTTTGAGCTCCCTCTCATGCTCCTGCCGCAGCTCCTCCCGAAGCTGAGTCTTTTCCTCATCGAACACCATTTGCAGTTGTTTCTTTTCCTCCTCATGCCTGCAGCTGGCCTTGTGGTGGGCCTCCCTCAGCACGGCCGCCTGCCCTTGAAGGTCTGCAATCTCACTCCGAAGGTCACTGATTTGCATCTCCAAGGTGTGCACTCCTTGCTCATACTTTTGCTTCATGGCAGCCTGCTCCTTTTCACAGGCAACCCTGGTGTCATCTAGCTGCTTTTCATAGTGGCGCACCTAGGACCAGACAGTTAAGCCACAGGGTGACTCAATTCTGAGCTATGGTGAAGGGAGGTGGGCGCAACGAGTGCTCCTGTCCCAAAGGACACTCTCATTTTCTCATTCTGATTGAAAGTGCAAACTTAGTTCAAAATTACCTGAAGTATAATTTTACCGCCTTCCCCCCCCCCCCCCCAGATAGGTCTTTCACTGGCTCAGAACACACCAAATAGGCTAGGCTGCCTGGTCAGCAAGTTCCAGGTTCTCACCGAACTAACAATTTTTTCTCCAACTTTGTGTTTCATACGGCACTCTGCATAATTTACAGAATTCAAGAAACATTTGAAGACTTAAACTACATATTTTAAGATCCTAAGTCTGTAGTAGGAAAGTAGGAAGGTGAAAGGAGCATATGTGGAGATCCACTCTGCACTCAGTGGAGTCATGCATAAGCCAAGAAAAGTCAAGTGCACAAGAAAAGTAGAAGCTGGGGAGTGGCACTGAGTAAAGGGAACTTCGGCTTGATGCCCCAAATCTATATAAACTGGGCATGATGGCTCTTTACCTGATGACAATGCTGGGGGGAGGCAGAGACAGAGGGTCCCTGGGCAAGCTAGGTAGCTAGACCAATGGGGGAATTCTGGGTTTAGTGAGGGACCAATCAAGGAAGACACTGGATGTTGATCTCCAGCCTACACACTCATATGTTCTCATTCACAGCATGAACATTCATATCCATGTAAAACCATGTAAACACATGTAACCATCCATATACACATAACCATGTATCCACATGTAAACATACATACACATATAACTATGCATACAGAAAACATGCATACACATGTGACCATGCATACATACATAATCATGCATACACACATGACCATGCATACACACATAACCATGAAAACACACATAACCATGCATATAGATGAACATGTATATACATGTAGCCATACTTACACATAAACATGCAAACACAATAACCATACATACACATGACCATGCATACACACATAACCATGAAAACACATATAACCATGCATATACATGAACATGTATACACACATAACCATACTTACACATATAAACATGTAAACACAATATAACCATACATACACATGAACATGCACATATATGTAACCATACATAACAAACCACATGCAGGGGAAAAAAAGAAAACCAAAAACATGGTGAAGTTGAGTGGAAACTGCATAGTGAAGGGCTGAGAGGCCAAGGATCAGAACTTGTATTAATCTAGTAAGTGATACTACATAAAAGGAAGGGGTTTTGTTTTTTGATTGGGATATTTTTTAACAAGTTAAAAACACCATAAGTAATATATTACAATATGAGGGGCTAAGAACACAGCACACTCTGGAGAGACTGGAGAAGAACAAGGGCTCAACCTCAGCCTGAAGAAGTGCGTTTCTGGCAGCCTCTGAACTCCAGAAGAAATGCACAGAAGTGCTGGTCTGTGAGGAAAGAGCACCAGGAACACCACCCACACACTGACAGGACTCAGGGTCAGACTGGGAAGCAGGACTTACTTTGTCTTCCAGCTCCAGTTTCAGATGACACAGGTCCCTGTGGTGCTGCTCTTTCATCTGTTCGATGACCAGCTCTGCTTCAATGCTCATATTCAGTGGGTTGCACTCTTCAGAACCAGGCCCTAAAAACACACAGAACCCACTGAGCCTGCCTCAGGTGCAGTCACTGGCATACTCTAGCATCTGACAAGGGGCATGGCTTCACTAAGGAATCCTTTTCAGCCTGATTTCCCAGGTGTGAAGCACTTGGAAACAACAGAAGCCCCATAAGATTCTCCGCTCTTCAAGCGTTAGGACAAGAGGAAGAAGGTGAGGAGAGCCTCCTAAATAATATAGGCAGTATGCCAAGCCTTAGTTGAATCCACCATTCTGAATGATAAATGGGTGTGTGCCATGGAAACAGCACGAGGTAGTCTGCTACCCAGTGACAAACTCAGAGGGATGAGGTGGCAGGGGAACAAGTGAGTGGCTAGCACCCCTTCTGCTGTGTATTATGGGGCTAACTTCATGGACCAAGATCCCTAGTCCACCCCTCATTACTGCACACGGTTGTTTTACTGTTGTGAATTTCCGGGTGTCTTAAGTTATTTTCACCCAGGCGCATGGGTCAGGGAGGTCAGGGACATGGGTGCAGACAACTGGGGAGGAAATTCTCAGTGCCTTCATATGGCTTACCTCTCCCACTGCCCACAATAAGCATTAAGGGAAAATTGAAATTATGAGCAGAAGGTGAGGTCTGAGCTAGCACAAGGTCAAATATATTTACTGTTGGGTAGAAATCTCTTAAGCCAGTGAGACTCAAAAAAATGCTTTTTTTTTTAAATTTTTATTGGATGTTTTATTTACATTTCCTATGTTGTCCCCTTACCCCATCCCCCACCCACCCAGGAACCCCCAATCCCCTCACCCCTCCTCCTTCTTCTCTGTGGATGTAACCTCTATCTACCCTCCCACTCCCACCTCCCCACCCTCAAAATTCCCACCCCCTGGGGCATCCAGCCTTCATGCGGTCAAGGTTCTCTTCTTCCACCTATGCCCAGCAGTGCCCTCCACTCTTACATATTCAACTGAAGCGCTGGATCCCTCCCTAAGTGCTCCCAGGCTGGTGGTTTAGACCCTTGGAGCTGTGGTTTCATTTGGAGATACACAGGCAGATGGAGAAGTGTTCATGGGCAGAGTTCTAGCAACTGGGATTGACAGGCCTGCTTTGGGCTTTCTCCTCATATATTTTGGCCCATCCCACCCTCTAAGATGGCAGAAGTTTCTTGGAACAGTCAACATTCAGGTGGAAGAGCTGCATCAGGTGAATCAAGGATCAGAGAGAAGGACTCAGATCTTCCTACACCTCCTCCCCGAATACCTGGTGATCCCACAGTGGAAAGGGGAGGGTACGAAAAAACTACCTTCTTAAAAACCAAAGGGAAGGGAGACACCACAAGGAACAGCAAAACCCACAGGAACCTTGCTCAAATTAAAACCCAATGGTACTGAGGAAAGAGGCGGGACCCAGGCAAGGAGCTGGGATTGCATGATGGCTCCCAGGCAGGCCTGCCCAACCGCCTCACTCTGCCTTATCAAAGCCACAGGCATGAGCTCTTAACTTTCTTTCTGCTCTTACGAGGCAAATAAAGCATTGAGCCTAGGCAGCCTATGAAAATCAACTACGGGTTCTGTGATCTGTGCTAACTCTTCCAAACCATCTTCATACCAGGCAGCCGTGGTGGGGAAAGAAGAGTCAGCAATATCAGAATAACAAATATATTTTATAAAGACAAATGAAAAACCCAGCCACAAGTGAAGTAGCTCAATAAATGAGACTGCCAAAATCTCTCCCTCTCTGAACTCCAGGATGCCAGTGTTCTGCAGGGCTCCACCCAGCCACTGTTCTACAAACTAGGTCAAATGCAGACATCAAAAAGATTGTGTGCAAATGTGTTTACCTTGGTTGGGTTCAATACCACTACTGTGACCTTCGAGCTCTTCTGACAGTGAGTTCTTCAAGGGGAGTCTGAGTACTCTGCCTTGCGCCTGATATTCTTCCAGCTCAGACTGGAGCTCATCCACTTGGTCTTGTAGTAGCTGGAGTTTAAAAAACAACACCAGTCTTACACGAGACCCCAAGAAATCAACAAGAAAAACAGTGGCTAAAAGCAAAGCACAGGCTTTTGTGCTTCAAAAGACACCAAGAAAGTTAAAAAAAAAAAAAAAGATGGATGCTGAAGAGAGAACTCAGAGATTAAGAGCCTGTCTTGCTCATGAACAGGATCTGAGTTTGGTTCCTATAACCTATGTCAGGTGGCTCACAATCACCCGTAACTCCCAGTCCAGTGTATCTGATTCCTTCCTGTGACCACTCTGGGACTGTACTCATGTGCATAAACAATACAGACAAATACATAAACACATAATAAAAAAATAGAAAAAATTAAAGTAAAAAGACTATGTAATCGGAGGAAAGTTTGGTTAGTTATCAGATAAGGTCCTTGTAACTAGAATTTATAAAGATTATTAGAAGTCAAAGTTAAGGAATTCAACTTAAAAATGGCCAAAGGCTATATTAGACTGTTCATCAAGGAAGATATGCAAACAATCAATAAGTGTATTATAAGACCTTCAGCACTGTTACCTACCAGGGGAATGATAAAAATCTATGATGGGATAGGACAACAATTGTAAATGAAGATGTGCTGGATGAGGACGCTCATATGGTAGGAAATAACCTTGGAAGAGGTCTGCCAGTTCCTCAAAGTTAAACATGGGTTTATCTTGTGGTCTAGCAAAATGCATCCTGGTATAAAACTCAAGAGAAATAAAGTATATGTCCACGCAAAAATCTGCTTAGAGCCATTATTCATGATAGCCCCTAAAAACGTAAATGTCTGTTAACTGATTTTAAAATGTAGGACATCTATATGATGGGACTTTATTCAGCCACTGGAAGGAACAGAAAACAGATATATGCAACATCACGATGAACTGGGACAGTATCACCAAGTGAAAGGAGCCCTTTGCAAAAGACCAGTTGTTAGCAGACAAAAAATAGACCAGTGGTTGCCTGTGGCAGGGTTAGGGATAAAAAGGGGGTGGGGATAGGGATTGGAGGAGGGGGAGACACGGGAATGGGGTGAGAGTGGAGGTGGGGAAAGGATGGACAGGATGAACAGGGGTAGGGGTGGGGAATGATGCCGTGACGGGGACGGGGACAATAGGAGAAGCTGGCTGAAGTGGAGCAGGGTTTTCTTGGAGTGATGACGTCACTCACATTGAGTTGTGGTCAGGGCTCTTTAGCTGTTTGAATATGTATGATTAGAAACATGGAACTGTATACATTGAATGCACACAATGTATGGTATATAAAGTGGTTTAAAAAAGATGACCTGGGGGAATTCTGAAGTTATCAGTAACAGATCTTACTGATGAGTTCATTCAATTTAGAGACAATTAAAACAAAAACTACATGATTAGAGCTAAGAGCTAAAACTTAATCATGAAGGCAGCAGGGAAGCTCCTGAGAAGGCAGGCTAGAAGCCATCTCTTGAGGATTTCCTCATCTCTGCAAAAGTACAAACTGTATCTAAAACTAGAAGTCAGTTCTACTTACCTTGCTAAATAAGTATGTTCAGCTTAAGAAAAAAAAAATCAAATTCCTAAGTTTGGGCAGCTAATTTAAGAAACAAACAGAGAACAGGCAGAGAGTGGTGCATGTCTTTAAAGCCAGCTTTTGTGGGCAGAGGCAGGTGGATCTCTGAGTGCTAGGCCAGCCTGATCTACAGAGTGAGTTCTAGGACAGCCAGGGGTACATAGTGAGACCCTGTCTCAAACAAAACAAAACAAACAAATAAAAGAAATAAACAGCCTCATACTATTCATAAGAACAGCTGTATCTAGTAGACACTGGAAATGGCTTCCAACTAAAAGTCTGAGTGGTTTGTTTCTGCTCCTAGTTCTTGCATTTTTCAAATGAAAGAATATGTTCAGGAAAACGGCATGCAATGACATCAGATAATACAGAGTTTGCAATGATCAGCTAGGGAAGCTAATTTTGGGATAAGAACATTAATGCCACATTAATTCTTCACTCAGCAAAAAACTGGATAGTCCTCTATATAGTAGTCCTCTATATAAGGTAGACCTGAATGGGATTGGCTTGATTGCTTACAGCCCAGGATACTGAGTCATATTAATAGCTAGTTTATACATGTGCTTGGTATGTCCCTGGCTCTGTTCTAAGGACTTCACACAGATCGTCTCTGAACCTTTGCAGCTGCCTTCTGGGTGCTGCACTGTGCTTAAAGGAAGTTTCAGCATCCACAGATTTCAGTGCCCTGACAAGCCCAGGGATTGCTGAGGTTGGGATTTGAACCCAGGTCCTCTGGGGTTGCTTAGTTCTCATCAGCTGCGCACCCTGCACTGTTGCTCGTATTCATTTCTCATCTGCGCCAGCCTCTCCTCTTGAAGGAAGAATTCAGCACTGCTGGGATCGAGGTCACCAAACTAGAAAGGACAAAAAACATACAAAGCTGCCATTATTCCCAAGGGCCCTTCTTTGACCTATCACATTCCAAAGATCCCAGTTTCTGGTATCATCCAAGTTCCCAAATATGACAGGAATGAGGCACTGAAGCAGAGACACCACCAACCGGAAGAGGAGGAAACCATCCAAGAACTCCGTGTTCAGCTTGGGGAGGGAGCCCACTCAGTGCCAAGATGCTTCCCTCACAGCCACCATCCTAAGTTATATCCTGAGAAGTTACAACTTCCTTCCAGCACCCAAACAGTTCCCTAATAAAAATGTTCCTGGCATTGCTTCTGCTCTTTGGGGTGAGTGACATTTTGGGCAACTCACCAGGAAATCGGAAGTAGACGGATTTACCTTTTCTGCTAACACATTTTCCAAATTGCGCTGAAGTTTGTTTGTCAGGTTCTCGTACTCTGCCAACTTCTCTGCATTTTCCAGAAGCTCATTCTCCAGGCGATTGTTTTCCTTGAGAAAGTTGGGAAAATAAACATGGCACAAGTCAAAAATCAGGAAACTGTTCTACCACTTTATATGAAGTATAATTATGCCAGGGTTTGGGATTAAGAAACCTGTATCTACTATGAAAACTAGAGAGAATCAAAACCAAACAATTATTAAAAGATTAATACCTAGCTCATGATTCCAAAAGTCTGCCTTTAACAAGAACCTTATAGGGGCTAGAGAGATGGCTCAGTGGTTAACAGCACTGGCTGATCTTCCAAAGGACCTGGGTTCAATTCCCAACACCAACATGGCAGCTCACACCTGCCTGTCCAGTTCCAGGACTTCTGGTACCCTCACACAGACATATGTAAAAGGAAAACACCAATGCACATAAAATAAAGGTAAATCATTAAAAAAATGAAAACCTTATAAAATTGCGATGTTCCACATCTTAGCTACTAGTAGGTCAATGAGGGTACTGGGCACTTGAAATACATCTAGAACCAACTGAGACATACACAGAGAAAAATATACACTGGATCTCACAAGGTAAGTTACAAATATAGAAGACAGCACAGAGTTATTTGGGCACACTGGTTCTATTTTAAAATGATAATGACTTATAGATACTGAGTTAAATGATTCAAAATTAATCTCACCTTTTAATTGGATATTATTTTTTAATGCCAAAATTTTACTTTGGTAGCAATAAATTATTTTTTTAAGAAAAGATAGTACATATATGGCTTTATTTTATTTTTACACAGCATTGCAGTGGAATATTTTGAATGATCTATTCTCCATGTATTGTTCAATGTGAGAAGTCTGGTAATAAAGTATCATTTCTAGAATGAGCATGAGCTGGCTCACAGGGTAAAGGCACTCTTTACCTGATGTGACTCCCCAGGACCAAGTTGTCCTCTGATCTTCACATGCTCACCCGAGTGTGTGCCCCACCCAACAAATTAATGTTAATAGAAAGGAAGGAAGGAAGGTAGGAAGGATGACCTTGACTAGCAAGAGACTCAGAAGGACTATAAAAAAGAGAGTAAATCTAAAACTGATTATAATTCATGGGCATTACAATTTATAATTAACTTACAATTTTGGTTTAAAGATATAGAAGGTACACATAAATGGTTCATAACTTTTATGTATAAACTAAAATAACAAACCAACTGAAACTCACAAATTTTTTTCCGTTAAAAAAAAAAGATCTTTCATAGTACTCTAGGAAGATTTCACCCACATTTGTTTTTTTTGTTTTTTGTTTTTTTTAAAATACAGACTTGCCATTTGACATATTTCCTTTCTTCTCCAGTGTTAAGGGCTGATTGGAAGAATGTTACTTTCAAAGTACATTTTGCCAAAAGCATAGAGAGCCAGTATGTCTTTATATATTCTGGTTAACGCTCTAACATGGCAATATGGAATTAAAAAAAAAAAGTACTTAAAAAAGCCTTCCAAAAAATACTACCTTCTCCTCTAACACCAACTCTAGGACTTTTGCTTCTCAAAGAAAACCAACACTGCCTGCCTTGCAGAGACTTCAAATGCCAGGGTGGGGGATACCCAGTGGGCCCCCACCTGCTCAGAGGAGGAGAGGGGGATGGGCGAAGGCCTATGGGAGGGGGTGATGGAGGGGCAGTGAGCAGGATGTAAAGTGGGTAAATAAAAAAGTAAAATTAAGTTTTAAGAAAAGAAATACCCACACTCACATGCTGAACTGACAGGAGCAAACCCTGACTTTCAGACACTCGCTGCTGCCCTGGAAGCTAAATCAGATATCACTATTGAGCACATGGGACAATGTGGCTGGCAAGAAGTAGGTGCACATAGCCACAACAGTAAAGTAGGTCTCCTGACAACAAGAAAGGGGGTGTAATGGGAATGGAAAGGGAATGACCCGTGGTGTTGGGGACATAGCAAAGGAGCATACAGGAGGAACAGGAGGCTCATGGAAGGTGCAGTGGGGAAGGGGTCACCAGGAGGGGCAGGGCACCAGGAGCTGAGGTTAGAGTGGTGGTTCTCAATCTGTGGGTCGTGACCACTTTGAGAACTAAATGACCCTTTCACAGGGGCCACCTAAAATCACTGGAAAACACAGATTTGTACATTATTTCAGAACACCAACATGACTTAAAGAGTGGTAATGAGTGCAGATGGCTAACAATTTCAACTTCTGGGACTTTCAGCAATTGATGCTACTGCTGCTGAGGAGAATCCAAAAGATGGCAGAAACTGCTCATTGCCTTGGCCTTTCTTTCCTCAGTTGTTGTGTGGACCCTGGGGCACATGATAAGAGAAAACATTTTCCATGTCCCTGCTGTTCTGTAGACAGCTTACTTGTACTGTCTGGTATGATAACCACACCAAGGTAACAAGTAAGAACTGCACATTAGGAAACAGGCTTGGAGCCGGGCAGTGGTGGCGGATGCCCTTAATCCCAGCACTTGGGAGGCAGAGGCAGGCGGATTTCTGAGTTCAAGGCCAGCCTGGTCTACAGAGTGAGTTCCAAGACAGCCAGGGCTATACAGAGAAACCCTGTCTCGAACTCCCCCCCCCCCCAAAAAAAAGAAGGCTTGGGTGACAGCATCAGGGTTTTCCTGTAGGCAGTGGGCCCCAAAGGCCCAGTACTATGCTATCTGGTATAAGAGCCCAGAAAAGAGAAGGTCACCTTCTTCCACTGGGACAGAGGGAGGAAGGGAAGAGGAAAGTCATGTTTGGAGATGTCCAGAGAATAAGAATAGGGGGCAGATAGGAAGGGGAAGGAAAAGCCAAGGATGAGGACAAACTTAGGGAAGCAGCTCTGGAATTGAAATTTTCAGCCAAGTTCTACCCAGTCCTGTGGAGCAAGTGCAATGGCTGTTGTGAAGACAAGGATCATCAATACTGTCTATACACACACCCTGAGCCACCACATCTAGGCCATAACTGGGGAGAATCCTTGGATTTAACCCTGTGCAGACCTGTGCCCTCAGGGAACTACAGTGTTCTGTGTAGATAGGACCCAGGCCACGGAGCTACCAAGATTACCTTCAGGGAGAGGGCAAGGCGGTCCCGGATGTAATTCTCTTCTGTTTTGGCCTTTTCAATTTCCTGTTCGAGCTCCACCCGCTGCTTGCCCACTTGCTGCAGGATCTGTTCCCTCTCTTGTCGGAGTTCATTCTTTAAGGCTGCTATGCGCTCCTTGTATTCTTCATCCAGTTTCCTGTGAGGAAGGACAATAGGAAAATTAATAAGTGGCCTGTAGGTCCCTTGGCGGACAGTATATGACATTCCAAGACTGGAGACAGAAGCACAGAGAAAAATGCCTAAAGTATCCTGCCTTCCCTGTGGCTGGGCCTTAGCTAGACCTCTTCAGTCAGCTCTGTTCTCACCCTGTCATGAGCAGGGGGCTGGGGGAATGGGGATACAGAGGAGAAGCAGGGGTTTGGGAGGAATAAGGGAGGACCCTGAACCTCGCCCCCCTGGCCACACCTGAGGTTGTATTCATTCCTCCGCTCAATGGCCGCATGGTGATCGTCCACCTCAGAAGCCATTAGAGACTTCAGCTTTTCTGCTTTATCCAGGTCCGACCGGAGCTTCTCCTTTTCTCTGACGACTTGGTCAACTCGTTCTCTAGAATTAGAAATAAAGTGAGTTGGTAGGAAGCTGTTTCCAAGCAACCAGGAAACCCCTCCAAAGGGAAAAAAAAAAAAAAAAAACAACAACAAAACTCTCATCTGGCTTGCTTCAGTACAAACACAAAACCAAGACAACCAAAACCTTCTCCAAACAAAAAGGCTTTCCAGGGTTCCCTTCACATGCTGCGGCCAATCAGAGACCCAGCACACTTCCCTTCAACTAAGGAGGGTGGGTAAAGATGCCTGGTGACGGTGATAAGGGAGACAAGTATAAAGGAAATGGACCAGGCAAACCTGCTCAACTTACAACAAATGCCGGATCTCAGCCTTGAAGCTAGCTAGAGCTGCCTGGTGAATGCCATTCTTGGTAACCAAGAGTTCATTCTCAAGAGCCAGCGTCAGCTCTGTCAGGTTGACATTTCCATCCAGGCTGAAATCCAAGGCCTGGGAATCAGAACACAACACAGAGTCAGAACAAATGACAGGCCCGGTTTCAGAAAGCAGAAAGTGTGGAGGCAGCCTGAGGCCAGGCTAGAGACCAGGCTGGCCCCAGTCCTGAGGAGCAGCTTTCTTGTGGAAACCTGTTTCCTTAAGGAAATCAAGGTCGGCTGCTTGTATCTCACGACATCCCATCTGACATTGTAAAGAAACGCAGGAGGGTAGTTTCAAACTCTGCCACCCAAAGATGAATTAAGAGCTTTCCTCTGCCAACAACTTAAGGTTAAAAAACATGGAAATACTTAGCCACAGGCTTCTGGCTAAAGCAGGCAGGAAAAACTACCTCATTTCAGAGATCTCACAAACATTAAGTCATTAAGGATAAATCAAATCAGTTCCAAAAGATAAACTGACACCCCTTCCCCCCTTCCTGGGATTGCTATTCTGGCTGCCACACCTTCAGGATCTCCTGACTGTTCTCAATGCCTTCTTCCTGCCAGGTGTCCAGTATCCTCTCCACAGACGCCTGGCCCATCCCATCATCCAAGCAGGAGAAGACCCGGAAGCCAATGGTACTTGTCATTGCTGATGAGGTTGTGGTCCGCCGTCCACTCTCATCAAAAGACTGGAAGAAGAAAAGAGCCTTAAGTAAACTGAGTCGAACCCCAGAATTTCAGCTAGATGCTGATCAAGACTGGGACTGCCCAGTCTTGGCCACAGAGAGAAGTTAATTTACACTGTTAGAGGGAGAAAGCCATGCTGTGCCTTTGATCTCTGGTTCCCAGTGAGTCAGGCTTACAGCCTGATCAGAAAGAACTGTTCTAGGAAATTCTTCACAATAGATGAGATGTATGTCTACTTGACACCAGGTTTCTTCTACCCCCCCATCCCCGCCTCCACTGTCATCAACAGGCATAATTAGCGGTCTTCACACTCTGTAATTTATGGCCATTTTCCAAACCATCCTTTCCTTTTAAACAGCTTAGTCTCTCATTCTCTGCATACTTTTTTCTTCATGGCATTTTGCTTTAGACAACAGATTAATTCATTCTGTTTTAAACACTTATTCTGAAAGAAAATGTTCTCTTGGTTCTTCTTTTCTAAGACAGGGTCTCACTATGTAGCCCAAGCTAACCTCCAGCCTGTCTGTTCTCCTCTATGAGAATAGCTGTTCTCCTCTCTGCCCACTGTGCTGGGATCATAGGCATGTGCCAGCACGCTGCGCTTTGCACACTGATCTCTTACCTGCATAGAGAGATGCCGTTTTAATTGTCTATAGGGAGTAGATACTGATGGTCTGAGGGATTTTCCGGTCTTAAACAGACCATAGAAAAAGTCTTCAAGACTCATTGTACCATCAGGATCAAGGCTGAGAAACACCTCTTCCAGCATCTAAGAAAAAGCAATCACGTGTCTTAAACACACACAAATACTACACGCACAGCACACTTCTGGTCAGCAGAAATTCATACCAGACATAGAATCTTGTCTCTATTCTTATTTAAAAGAATTTTCTTCTCTAGAAATGATGACCTCCCCTCTCATTCAAACGAAATGAAACCCCATTTCTAACATCTCTAACATCTCCATAATCTTATGCAGCTTAGCAATCAACTGCTTTTTTTTTTTTTATTCATTCTTCCAGGTCTGGCAGCCTTAAATGTCACAAGTATTATTATTATAAATGTTTTTTAAATTACTTAAAAACATATAGCTTCTCACAATCTTAACAAGACGTTCGTTAAAATGTAGTGGTTGTAAGTGATAACTGGCTCATACTGAAGTTTTCAAATTGGCATGTGTGATGGTTACTGCTAATTGATAGTTTGACAGGATTTAGCATCACTGACAGACTTCCAGCCATGTCTGTGGAGGATTATCTGCGCTAACTGAAATGGGAAGCTCTGCCCACTGTGGCTGAGATCCTAGACTATCCAAGAGGAGAAAATGAGTAGGCCGGTGGCTTGCATATAAATATGAGTGTGATAACCAGCTGATTCAAGTGCCTGCTGCCTTAACTCCCACACCATGATGGGTTGTGCTTTGCATGGTGAAACAGAATAAGTCTGTGGTGGTTTAAATGAGAATAGCTACCATAGGTTCATATACTTGAATGCTTGGTCCACAGTAGAAATGTTTAGAAGAGTTAGGAAGTGTGGCCTTGTGGGAGGAGGTGTGTCACTGGCTTTAGGTTTCAAAAGCCCACGGCAGGCATAGGCTTCCTCCTTCTTTCTTTGTCTCTCTCTGCGTGTCTCTCTGTGTCTCTGACTCTGTCTCTGTCTCTCTCCTTCCTTCCCTCCCTCCTTTCCTCTCTATCTCCTTCCCTCCCTCCCTTTCTCCCTCTGCCTTCTGCCAGCAGATTAAGACATAAGCTCTTATCTGCTGCTCCAATCCTATCCCTGCCTGCCTGCCTGCCTGCCTGCCACCATGATTGTAGATTCACCCTCTAAAGCTATAGACAAGCCTCCAATTAAATACTTCTCTAAATGGCTTTGGTCACAGTGCTTCATCACAGCAACTGAACAGCACCTAAGATAAAAACCCTTTCTCCCTTAAGTTGCTTTTGTCAGAGCACTTTATCCCAGTAACAGGAGAAGAAACTCAAACAGCATGCTAGCACAGCAAATATGGACTGGGGCAGATTGCAGTGATGTTCCTTGGAACATGCTGAAGTTATATTTTAATGTGCCCAGGAGAAAGCAAGAGTGGGTGACAGTAATCTTCTGTGTGTGCAAATGGGGTCTCAAGATATAGAAAGAGGAGGGAGTTTGACTCTCCATTTTGTGCTTTCTGATAGCCATCCTATAGTTTTCATCATATGACAGCGAACAGGGAGCTTGACTACAGCCTGTGTGGAGGCTTGTCAGGGAGATGGTTTGTTCCTTAGTCCCGCAGGAATGGGGTAGGAGAAAGAGCAGTATGAATCACAGAAGCCACAGACAGGAGGAAAAGCACAGACATCCTACTGAGACTCTTCCCTCTGTGTGATAAGTTTATTGTGGAACAGATCTCCAAGAACAGATCAGAAATCAATCAGAGATCTTACTATACACTTAGCTGCAGTAGGCTAAGAGAGGGGCCTGAGACTACATAGCTAACCAGCTCCCCCCTGATGCCTGGACCACTGAGAAGCAAGAAGACAGAAGACTAACAAATTTTATTTCAAGTGCTTTGTGCCAATTCATAGGAAACATATGTCTTGTTTGGGAGAGGATTCTGAAGTAAGGAAATTTCTAGAAGTTGGAAATCTGGGGAAGAAACAGATTCTGACAGAATCCTGTGATGAGTGGTATTTGGGACAAGATGCTGGGGTTGCCAAAAAGCCTTCAACTTTTCTGTCTCATTTTCACCAACAAAAGAATGATGTCCTAGAGAAAGTGGCTTTCAGGACCATCCAACCAGAAATGTCCACAAAATCTAAACAAAGCAATGGATTATGTCCTTACTGCTTGCATGACCTTAGCCAAATCAGTGTAGTTTCTACGTGGCCTAAACACTCATCACTTAATCCATTCAGATAGGCATAGTAGGCCCTTGCCAGTTATTTTAAGTTATTTTAAGTCACAGCTTGGGATGAGAAGTGTTGGGTAAAAGGGTATAAATTTAGAAAGGACTGGGTAGTTGGGACCAGGCTCAAGAGAATGTAGGTTACCTGAGCAACTGAGGCGCCTGCCCTCTTTGGGAGCAAGGGCATTTTCATTTCTCACACTGGCCAGGTCTGTGAGTGGCTGACTTCCCAGTGTGTAGGGTGTAAAACATGTACCAGAATAGGGTCCAGGAACTGGGACACCCACAGTGACCTGAGAGGTGATGGGAGTGAGCAAGGTTTGGAGGCTTCAGACATCAGAAAGCAAGCAAGCGGTGAGGACCAAGCTAGCTCAGCACATGGCTGCCTATGGTCTCCGGAGGAGACGTCTGTGGGTTGCTATTACAAAATATTTAGGGAAAATTTCCAATTTTGAAGAGTCTACCTCAAAGTTCAGCTTTTTAAATACTGAACAAGTCAAACAAAGTCATCCTTGGGTTTGGTGTGGCCTGGAGGGAGCTAGCCTGCCCATTCTGCCTTCTTAGTTGTCTTCACTTAGTGGGGTATGGATGACTGCCAGAGAGAGCTCATCTAGTTCTCTCCCTCATAAAAATGGGGCAACAGGCTTCCTCTGCAAAAGGCAGACTGAGTTCAAACTGCTTTCAGGTGTAAAATTCCAGGATCCCAAGTCCTGTGCTAATCACCAAGTCCTATGCTAATAACTCAGCACCTCTGGGTTCAGAACTAAGGACATGAAGTGCAGGGCATCACCTCACTCCTGGTGGGAGGGGGTGGAAACACTAAGCAGGAGCATGATGAGCAATGCCTTCCTAATTCGAATAGCACAGGGAAAAAACTGAATGTGCCCCTTGTCTCCAGTTTTAGGGGCTCCCTGCAGAAGAGGAAGCCAGCTCCCTTTGAGTGACTGTAGTTTATATTCCAAAAATTATTCTCAGATCAGTAACTCAAGTTTGTGCAATGTTTCTTGGGAAAACACAAAACAGAAAACAACCCAAGACTCTTTGTACTGTACTGGTTCAGAAATTAGGATAATTAATTTAATGTTACAACTCAATAGCCACCACTGAAAAAATAAACAGGGCTCTGGGATATTCCAAGGTTGTCAGGGGGCTTATATAATGGTCACATCGTATGAGAACAAGAAAAAAAAAAAAGAAACCAAAAACTAAAAACCAAATTTTTCTGCAAGTCAGGCTACTTGGCAGGTTTTAAAGATCAGCCTCTTTCTTGGTTAGGAATATGCTACCACTTTCTCCCGAGGAGGCAGCCAGCGTGGTTTCAGATGTCATTATAATCAAGGATTCTGGAGCAATGACTGTATTCTTAACCTCTAACTCCCCCTAATCTTTATTTGTAGCTTTCTGAAAGACACGTCCTAGAATTATAGGTTTTTCTGTATAGCTTCTTGGCTATTCATATACTAATCCTGAAGATCCTCTCATGATTCTTCAGCAAAAAAGGAAAACAGAATCTTACATCATAAACTCTCTGGGGTTTTATCAAAACTACCAAGCTACCTGACCCCATTTTCTTGTGGCCAGAATCTGCCTGTTCTATACAGCCAAGGCTCTCCTCACACCAGCATGCAAACTTCAAACCACGGCTAGAGAGGCAGCCTATCCTGTGCACTACTCTAGCCTACCCAAGGGCCCAGGAATGACACTAGAACTTTCCAGAACTGAACATGCAGCAGCCTGGCTTTCAAAGTTCTCCTAACTAAAGCATGAGACTCTCACAATTCCTCCTCTGTGTTTCCCCACATTTTACTGTCTGGTTGATACATCTTATATGGGGTAACATACTTAGCACAGTAGGTGACCATATTATTCATTCAGGAAGATCAGCCACATTAGCTTTGATTTATGCCACACAACATGACTTTCCCAAAGACAAAAATTTTGTAGAATCTCATTTTAGGAAAAAAAGAAAGCTGTGTCTCTAATAAGGAGGTCACAGCACAGCTCTTCCCAGCCTGAGGGCAGACAAAGCTCTTCTCATTATTCTTAAATCGGAACACAGCAATGGACTTACCGCTCCATCCACATTCTGTAATCCATATTGTTCGCAGATGGAAACCAGCTTCTTCCGGTTCAGGTGACCATCTCGGGTGATCCCCAGATCTTCACAAACCTCTTGCAGTTTCTCTTCTATCCAGTCTGGAGGAGGGCAAGACCCACCATGTGAAGCATTCAGGTCATCTGGGTTCCAAAACCTCAGCTGGCCTAAAATCAAAGTAAAAACTGTGTTGTCTCCAAAGGAATCACACAGAGACAATTCCTGCTACAGAAATGTACCGTTGGAAAGTAATTCTTTCCTTTGCTTTTTATTCTTTGGCATGGATGAGTGTTTTGCTTGCATGCTTGTCTATGTACTACATACATGTAGCGCCCATGGAGGAACTAGAGTTACAGATGGTTGTGAGCTGCTATGTGGTCTCGGGAATCAAACCTGGGTCCAATGGACAAACAATTAGTATTCATAACTACTAAGCTATCTCTCCAGCCCCATAATAAATAGTGTATGAGATGATTATAAATGTTGACCCCACTCTGATTTGGTACTGAAGTCCAAATGTAAAACTGAAGATAGTATTTTTACTCTGGGACAATCACCCAAGAGAAAGGAACACTATCTCATACACATGAGGTCAGATGCCTCAACTGAAGCTTTCAGAATGTTTCATTTCTGCTTTCTCTCTGGGCTAATTATTACAACATCTTTTCCTGGGAATGAGCCTCTAAAGTTCATCTATTTCCCAAATCAGAAACCCAAGACTCACTTGAAAGAAAAGGTTGCAAACTGCACGTCTGTTAGCATCTATGGATGTATGCTAAGTTCTGTTTAAAGACAAGGTCAAACTACTTATTGAAATGCCAAGACGACTTATCCTGTATTAGCCACCTTGCTTCTAAATTGACAATGTAAATGTGAGCCCGTGAAATCATCACTTAGATATGGGATAATTACAGGCATGATTTCATATACCTGGGAGAACCATGGAAGATTGGAAGGGGCACTCAGTGTCATTCCTGCTATTTATTGACAGAATTTAAACCCATTACTGTACTATTATTCTAGGCTGGAGAGCCAGAGAACACATTGTTTTAATTATACTTATCCACACTTCATCTGGGGTTAGGCAGAAAAGTGAGCTGAATCACAGTGCCATCTGGTGGCCATATGATTGTTGTGTTCTGCTTCATAGTCTATAGATACTGAACACTTGGTATGTTGAGGATGGGCAAAAACCCCTTTGACAGTCTGCACTGCAGCAGTCCTCTATAGTGGACTGCTACAAATTAGCTGCCATCTTTCCTACAATGTTAATAGCCAGGGTTTGAAGAGTGTGAAATGTCACTTGGAAATGATTTTTTTTTTCCTGTTGGTGTTGGTCCTAATGTTATGACATAGCTTCCTTCTGGTGCAAGGAGGAGGAAAGGAGGTGCACACAGTGCCTTAGCCATAGCAGCCAGGGCTTTCCCTCCTCAGCAGTCCCCCCAACCCCACTGCTCTCTCTTACCTTCTGCTTCATACTCCTCACTGCGCTGTGTCTTCCAGTGCTAGAGAAGACAAGAGACAAGAGACAATTAGTGTACATTTGACCCAGCCTCTAGACCAGATTTCTCTCTAGCTCCCAAGCCACCATGTGGGTTAGTCACATGACTTTAGCCTTTGAGTCAGTACGGGCTCTTTTCAGTTAACCAGACCACCAATCAAGAGGTTGAAACCTCTTGAAATAGACTAGTCTCTGCCAACTTCACCAGCACAAAGTACTGTCTTTGCATGACACTGGGGATTTGTCTTGTCATTTTGAAGGTTACTTATTCAATAACAGAACCTATTATAACCCATTAAAAGGAATATGCTGAGTTCACCAGCGAGCAAATGTGTATACAAATTTATAAATTTGTTCTTCAGTGACTGTGTACTGAGTGCTACATGCTACATCTTGGGAACACACACAAGAGTAGAACACACTTATTTCTTAACCAGCAAAGTACATATATGGAAGAGGGGGCAGAAACATTGTAAGGGCCAGAGGATCAGGAAGTTTACTGTTAGATTGTGTCTTCTAGTAACATCAGAAGCTACACTCATGATGTCTCACCAACATGACCACTTAAACATGAGCTGAACACAAAGGACACTAATTGACATGCTTCAACCCTACACAAAGAATTACAGGCAACCAAGGAAAGCTGAGAGCAGAAGAGACTGCCTTCCCTAGAGAAGAGCACACGAAGTGATTACTCAATAACAAATGCTCAGCCCTGAAAACACACACAAAGAACACATATATAGATATTCCTAAATATAACCTTCTCAGTCTGTGCATATATCAGATATGCACATACCAATAATTAATGAAAAACGAGGGCTACAAATTTGAAAGAGAGCAAGGAAGGATATATGGGAGGACTTGGATCACAAAGGGGAAAGGAAAAATGTAATTATATTATAATCTCAATAGAGTTCACATGCCAATGAAGACCCCAGGGACCAGAAAAGAGGAGGGAAGACAGAATGGTGATTGAGAAGGACACATCAGACTGGGAAGGTGAAAGATGATGTCCTAACAGCAGCAATGGATAAACTGAGTCCTGAGGTTCGTCTGAACTACAGACAGCAAAAAGAATAGGAGTCCTTAATAACTGCTGAAGTAAGAATGAGTCGAGTGTACCTGTCAATGAGCAAATACAGACGCAGTCTGCACAGGTAGACCAGAAAGATGAATTCAATGCACTGTGCTGGTAGTAAGCTTCATTGACCATAATGGAATTTATTCGAACTAGAACTCTTAGCATAGTTAAGTTATGAGTGAGGCTCCTCTGAGGTCAGAGCATGTGGTTTTTGTACTGCTAACTTCCTCCTCATCACAAGACAGGAACAAATCCAGCCTTTGCTCCACTGGCCAAGTTCTGTATCAGTCTTCCTTGGACCAGTTATAACATGTAGCTTTTGTTCTCAAGAAAGTTGCCTGTTGCACCTGTCCCACGGGGAGGACCTACATCAGTGAAGGAAGTTCTTCTGAGAAGACAGGACCACTTAACAAACAACTCTAATCCACAGGTGTGGTGGCCCTTGCCACACTAGCACCCAGGAGGCAGAAGGAAAGGGACTAGAAGTTTTGGGTTAGCCCGGACTTTATAATAACCATGGGTAGACTGGACTATCTGAGAACAGTGAGAGGGCAAATAAGAGCAAAGCATAACACACAGAAATGAAACCCAGGTCTTTGTACATAGGCCCCAAATAACAAAATACTAAAAGGGGAAGAAATAAATGTGTGTGTGTGTGTGTGTGTGTGTGTGTGTGTGTGATTTTATGAATAAAGTTGCATCTTATACCAAATAACCAGCCTGTTCACTGGGATGGTTGAACTGTATGATGCTAGTTGATTTCTTAAGACTCCTGAAATAAAACAGCAGGAAGATGGGCCTAATTAACTCCAGTCTGCAGAGCCTGGATTCCTCACAGCAGATGGTGTGCAGTGAAAAAAAAATGCTTAACATTGTCTTCAGTAGTTCAAGATGACATAACTTAACATTCAGGCTACCTTGGCTTTTCTCCTCCACTTCCCATACTCACTTTAGGTACCTGACAGAAGCAAAAGAAGGATGGAAGGGTTTGTTTCAATTTACAGTTCTTGGAGACACAGTCCATCAAGGAAGGGATAGTACAACACAGGAGGAGGAGACAGCTAGCCACATTGTGCCCCCAGTCAGGAAGCAGAGAGCAATGGATACTTCCTTCCATTCATGCTGGTGACTCAGTCTAGGTCTCCAGCTCATGGGATGGTACTGCCCACAGTTAACATGGTTCTCCTCACTTTACTTAACCTAATCTAGATAATCCCTCACTGGCATGCTGTCTTAGTTAGGGTTTTACTGCTGTGCACAGACACCATGACTAAGGCAACTCTTATAAGGACAACATTTCATTGGGGCTGGATTATAGGTTCAGAGGTTCAGTCCATTATCATCCAAGCAGGAACATGGCAGCATCCAGGCAGGTATGGTGTAGGTGGAACTGAGAGTTCTATGTCTTCATCTGAAGCCAGCTAGTGGAAGAATGACTTCCAGGCAAGTAGGATGAGGGTCTTAAGGCCCACACCCACAGTGACATACCTCCTAACACCTCCTAACAGTGCCACTCCTGGGCCAAACCTATTCAAACTATGTCGCATGCCCAGAGCCTTGCCTCCAAGTGAATCTAGATTCCATCAAGTTGACAATATTAACCATCACATTCATGGTAGTTAGCTCAAGGAGAGACAAATATCTACTAAGAGTCACAGCTCCTTGGTCCATAGGGACACTTATGATGTCATGGACTGAGCTAAGCTGAAACCTCCAAGTGAAATCCCAAAAAAGACTCTGCTGAAATGGAGATGGCTGAAGATCATGTCTCAAGATGACTAAGCTAACTGAAATTACCAAACGGACAGGGTATGGCTGGGACTGACCCACCTGACCCACGGGGCCCTCGTGATTTCTCCATATTTCCTTGGAGTTATAATTTCATCACCTCACTTGTCCTGCATTTCTAGATGGTGCTCTAAGCTTCTAGATGTGTGTGGCCTGGTGAAGCAGAGGGGAGTGCTGTCAACAGTCCTTCAATTACTGTCTCTGACCAGAATTAAACTGCTATTATATATAAGACTTTAAATCCATAGAGGCCCACTGTAAGAGCATCCTGGCTACTAACAGACTGAGTCAAATGCTCACCCTACTTTGGCATCTGAAATTATGCAAATTCATTATACAGTATCTCAGTATCCTAAGATTGAACCCACTAAATCTACCTATAACATATGAAATGGAGTTTATGACCTCAGAACCACTGGTCCAAATGAAACTATTAAACACAAGTTTTTCTTGGCTTTTTAAACAATAGACACCGTTGGGGAAAAGGAAGGGAAAGTATTCTCATTGGGCTCAAATCTTAAAGAGCCTCAGCCTGGACAGGGCATCTTGGGACAAAAATGAGGCAGCAACATACAACTTCAGAATGTCTTCACCAACAATTCCTAAAGTGGTAGGGTGTGCATGGCTTCTTGAATTTGCTCATCTATTTCTCCATGCTTGTTAAAATAGTGAGCAAAGCCTTCGAAGAACAAAGATGTCCTCACATAGTTTCCAGGTGTCACAGGTCTACAGTCAGGGTGCTATAGTTTTCATTCATCATCACCATCCAGGATAGCTCACTTCACCATTTCTTACCCCTAATTGACAGCCCAGCAAGGAGGCTACTGCACAGATTTGGAGCTAGGCTGCCTGGTACTGAATCCTCACTTACTGATGGGGTTAGCTTTATGTAAGTTGTTTAACCTCTTGGCCTTAGTTTATCTGTGAAATGGGAATAATGTAGTATGAATTTACTGTGGGAATAGCAAGTGTTTAGCACTGTGCTCAGCACAGACACACTATAAAGTCTCGTTATTTTTGTATTGCACATGTGTATATACAATACATATGAAACTCGTATTTGTGGAATTCTTTCCACCTCTATATTGAAAATTAAACCATTAATTTGGGTATGCCTCTGCAAGTATCTGTACATTTTTTTTAAAGGGAAAAAGTACATGTTCATGTGTATCAGTGTTAGATATAAGCATGTGAGGTCGGAAGGAGGTGTCAGATCTCCTGCAGTTAGAGTTACAGCAGGCAGTGGTGAGCAGTCTGACATGGATGTGGGGAACTGAACTGACAGCAGGGTGGGGGTGTTCTCTGGAAGAACAGTTCTCTAACCACTGAGTCCCCGCAGGGATACACACTACACAGATGGCGACTCACCACAGTACCGTTGATTCTGCACCACACAAGGTCACAGGAACTAAAACCAGAGCCCATAATCATCGCTACTGAACTGTTGCTATTGACTTATCTAAGTATTTAAGTTATAGCTCCCACCAAGTCTATAGTCTAAAGCAGGCTTGTGCGTGTGACTGGCAGCAACGTTTGTGGGTATTATTTTTATGATGAAAATGGCTTTATGTATCAAAATTAAAAAGTCATTTTTCAATCCAATAATTTTACTTGTAATCTAAAGGTAATTAAAAAAAGAGAGAGGAGGTAGGGAAGGATTGGGGGAGGGGTGACCAGAAGAAGGGATATAAAGTGAATGAATAGAGACAGAGAAAGAGAGAGAGAGAGAGAGAGAGAGAGAGAGAGAGAGCACCATGTGCACAAATATGTATGCTGTGGCATATTTATAATGATCAAGTGTTTAAAACAACTTAAATATTATATTAAATAACAGGGCATAAAGCACAATGATACAACATAATCTGGTCATTAAAAGTAATTTAAAAACCATGTAGGACCATGGAAAATCATTTTAACAAATGTTAAGTGAAAGAGCATAACAAAAATGTGATCTGTACTATGATCATTGCTGGCAACAAATATTTATACAGCCAGACAAAGACCGGAAGGAAACAGGTAATAAAAATAAGACACATTTTAGTTGAGGGTCTATAAGAGAACGTATTTTATTCCCTCCACTGTTATAAATGATCTTCTGCAGGATGAGTAGACAAACTCTCACTGTTCCTTTT